CTGGTGGGAATCGGATCCCAAATCCCAAATCCCAGTGGGAATTGAATCCTGAATCCCGAATCCCAGTGGGAATTTAATCCCGAATCCTGAATCCCAGCTCCTGCTGGGATCGGCTCCTGAATCCCAAATCCCGAATCCCAAATTCCAAATCCCAAATCCCAAATCCTTCCTCCTGGTGGGAATCAAATCCCAGATCCCAAATCCCACTGGGAATTGAATCCTGAATCCCAAATCCCACTGGGAATTGAATCCCAAATCCTGAATCCCAGCTCCTGGTGGGATCGGCTCCTGAATCCCGAATCCCGAATCCCAAACCCCAAATCCCGGCACCTGGTGGGAATCAGATCCCAAATCCCAAATCCCAGTGGGAATTGAACCCTGAATCCCGAATCCCAGTGGGAATTGAATCCTGAATCCCAAATCCCGGCTCCTGGTGGGATCAGATCCTGAATCCCAAATCCTGAATCCCAAATCCCAAATCCCAGCTCCTGGTGGGAATCGGATCCCAAATCCCAAATCCTGGCTCCTGGTGGGAATCAGATCCCAGATCCCAAATCCCAAATCCTGGCACCTGGTAGGAATCGGATCCCAAATCCCAAATCCTGAATCCCAAATCCTGGCTCCCAATGGGATCAGATCCTGAATCCCGGCTCCTGGTGGGAATTGGATTCTGAATCCCAAATCTGAAATCCCAAATCCTGGCTCCTGGTGGGAATTGGATCCCAAATCCCAAATCCCAAATCCCGAATCCCAGCTCCTGGTGGGAATCAGATCCCGAATCCAGAATCCTGAATCCCGGTGGGGATCGGATCCCGAATCCCAAATCCCAAATCCCAAATCCTGGCTTCTGGTGGGAATCGGATCCTGAATGCCAAATCCCAAATCCTGAATCCCAAATCCCAGTGGGAATTGAATCCTGAATCCCAAATCCCAAATCCCAAATCCCAAATCCCAGCTCCTGGTGGGAATCGGATCCCAAATCCCAAATCCTGGCTCCTGGTGGGAATCAGATCCCAAATCCCAAATCCCAAATCCTGGCACCTGGTAGGAATCAGATCCCAAATCCCAAATCCTGAATCCCAAATCCTGGCTCCCAATGGGATCAGATCCTGAATCCCGGCTCCTGGTGGGAATTGGATTCTGAATCCCAAATCTGAAATCCCAAATCCTGGCTCCTGGTGGGAATCGGATCCCAAATCCCAAATCCCGAATCCCAGCTCCTGGTGGGAATCAGATCCTGAATCCTGAATCCCGAATCCTGAATCCCGGTGGGAATCAAATCCCGAATCCCGAATCCCGAATCCCGAATCCCGAATCCCGAATCCCGAATCCCAGTGGGGATCGGATCCCGAATCCCGAATCCCGAATCCCGAATCCCGAATCCCGGTGGGGATTGGATCCCGAATCCCAAATCCCAAATCCCGAATCCCGAATCCCGGACGCTTCCAGACAGCGCTTCCCAGCCAACCGGGACGAAAACCTGGCAAAAGCAGCCGGAAAACTCCGGGACCCCCTCACCTGCACGGCGGAGCTTGGGGAACCCGCCGGGAATTCCGGGCGTGGATTCCCGGGAATCTCCCGGCGCTGGGGTGGCGGGGATATCCCGGGAGAAGCCGGGGCGGGGATGGCCGGGCTGGGGGGGATATCCCGGGAGAAGCCGGGGCAGTGATGGCCGGGATGGGGGGGATATCCCGGGAGAATCCGGGGCGGGCTGGGGGGGCTGGCGGGGATATCCCGGGAGAATCCGGGGCGGGGATGGCCGGGATGGGGGGGATATCCCGGGAGAAGCCGGGGCGGGATGGCGGGGATATCCCGGGAGAAGCCGGGGCGGGATGGGGGGGATATCCCGGGAGAAGCCGGGGCAGGGATGGGGGGGATGGCGGGGATATCCCGGGAGAAGCCGGGGCGGGATGGCGGGGATATCCCGGGAGAAGCCGGGGCGGGATGGGGGGGATATCCCGGGAGAAGCCGGGGCAGGGATGGGGGGGATGGCGGGGATATCCCGGGAGAAGCCGGGGCGGGATGGCGGGGATATCCCGGGAGAAGCCGGGCCGGGGTTGGGGGGGATATCCCGGGAGAAGCCGGGGCGGGGATGGCCGGGATGGGGGGGATATCCCGGGAGAAGCCGGGGCAGTGATGGCCGGGATGGGGGGGATATCCCGGGAGAATCCGGGGCGGGCTGGGGGGGCTGGCGGGGATATCCCGGGAGAATCCGGGGCGGGGATGGGGGGGTTGAGGGGGGATATCCCGGGAGAATCCGGGGCGGGGATGGGGGGGATATCCCGGGAGAAGCCGGGGCGGGAATGGGGGGGATATCCCGGGAGAAGCCGGGGCGGGCTGGGGGGGATGGGGGGGATATCCCGGGAGAAGCCGGGGCGGGGATGGGGGGGATATCCCGGGAGAAGCCGGGGCGGGGATGGGGGGGATATCCCGGGAGAAGCCGGGGCGGGGATGGCGGGGATATCCCGGGAGAAGCCGGGGCGGGCTGGGGGGGATATCCCGGGAGAAGCCGGGGCAGTGATGGCCGGGATGGGGGGGATATCCCGGGAGAAGCCGGGGCGGGATGGGGAGGATATCCCGGGAGAAGCCGGGGCGGGATAGGGGGGATATCCCGGGAGAATCCGGGGCAGTGATGGCCGGGATGGGGGGGATATCCCGGGAGAATCCGGGGCGGGATGGGGGGGTTGAGGGGGGATATCCCGGGAGAATCCGGGGCGGCTCCCGGGGCGCGGAAGGAGCCGGGGCAGGAAGGGGGAAGGCGCGGGGGGGGCGGTGCCGGGAAGCGCCGCCACTCCCCCCCCCCCCCCCCCCCCCGGTGGTGCCGGGATCCCCGGGATCCTGGGAATCCTGGGAATCCTGGGAATTCCGCCCGCGGGACGGGACGGACCCGACCCGCACAGAGGGGCTGGGAATGATGGGAACGCCCGGAGGGAAACCGGGAAGAGGCGCGGTGGGGCGCGCCCCTGATCCCGCAGCGGCGATCCCGGGATTTGCTGGGAATTCCCGGCGGGAATGGGGAAGTGAAGGGGGGGGGGGGGGGGGTGAGCTCCTCCTGAAATTCCAGGTGGGAATTCCTGTGGAGCTGCAGCCCCTGCCGGGATTCTTCTCCCGGCCCATTCCTGACCCAGAGGATCCTTCCCAATCCTGGGATTCCCGGGATCCTGGGAATTCTGCCTCAAGGTTTCTGGACCAAGGAGGAATCCCAATCCTGATCCCAATCCCAATCCCAATCTGGATTCTAATCCCAATCCCAATCTGGATTCTAGTCCCAATCCCAATGCCAATCCCGATCCCAATCCAGATCCCAGAGTGGTTTAAAATTATGGGAATGCCAGGAGGAAAAATGGGAAGAGGAGGGGAGCAGTGGGGCGCGCCCCTGATCCCACAGTTTGGGCGCGTGCTGGGAATTCCCAGTGGGAATGGGGAAGTGAGGTGGGAATTCCCAAAATTCCAGGTGGGAATTCCTGAGTAGCTGCAGCCCCTGCCGGGATTTTTTCTCCCAGCCCGTTCCTGACCCAGAGGATCCTTCCCAATCCTGGGATTCCCGGGATCCTGGGAATTCTGCCCCAAGGATCCTTCACCAAGGAGGAATCCCAATCCCGATCCCAATCCCAATCCTGATCCTGATCCCAATCCCAATCCCGATCTCAATTCCAATCTGGATTCTAATCCCAATCCCAATCTGGATTCTAGTCCCAATCCCAATCCCGATCCCAAATCCCGATCCCAGAGTGGTTTAGGGATTGCTGGGAATGCCAGGAGGAAAACTGGGATGGGAAGGGAAGGGGAGCCGTGGGGTGCCCCTGATCCCACAGTTTGGGGGTGGCTGCGATCCCGGGATGTGCTGGGAATTCCCAGTGGGAATGGGGAAGTGAAGGGGCGGGGGGGTGAACCCTTCCCGAAATTCCCAGTGGGAATTCCTGTGGAGCTGCAGCCGACGATGGTGTCCAAAGACACCCGGCTCATTCCACTCCTAATCCTATTCCCATTCCCATTCCCATTCCCATTCCCAATCCCATTCCCATTCCCAATCCCATTTCCAATCTCATTCCCACTCCCATTCCCATTCCCATTCCCAATCCCATTCCCATTTCCAATCCCATTTCCATTCCCAATCCCCCTCCCAATCCTAATCCCATTCCCATCCCCATTCCCAATCCCATTCCCACTCCCATCCCCATTCCCAATCCCATTCCCAATCCCATTTCCATTCCCAATCCCAATCCCAATCCCAATCCTAATCCCATTCCCAATCCCATCCCCATCCCCATCCCCATCCCATTCCCATCCCCATTCCCACTCCCATTCCCATTCCCATCCCCATCCCCATTCCCATTCCCCCATCTCCTTTTCCTTCCCCGCTGCTCCCAAATTTTCCCTGATCCAGGTGGTCCCACCCGGCCACGACCCCAAAAATTCGGGAACGACCCCGCGGGGGGCGCGGGGCTCCCCCATTGCCCACAACCCCCGGGGAATTCCGACATCCCCTTCTCTGGAATTCCGCATCCCGGATAATCCACCTCCAATTCCCCTTTAGGGACCCCAAATCCCGGGGATCCCGGGCAGATCCCTGGATCCCCAGGATCCCCTGGAAGATTCCCATTCCCGGCTGTTCCCGAGTTCTCCCACGCACTCGGAGCTGCGCAGTTCCCACACTCCCGGCTGGAATCCTGCATCCTCGGGGCTGCCCGGGAATCTCGGATCCCCCCCAAAAAATTCCCTCCGGGAATCTCCGCGGCTCTCGGATCATCCCCCCCATCCCAAAAATTCCCTCCGGGAATCTCCACGCAGGAGTTCGGACGGGAACCATCCCGCTCCTCCTCCTCCTCCTCCTCCTCCTCCTCGCCCTTCTCCCGTCCCATCCCACCTCCAATCCCGGGCGATTTTGGGCTTGGAAAACGCTGCCCCCCCCCAAATTCCCGATGGATAATTCCCGATGGATAATTCCCGATGGATAATTCCCGATGATCCCAAATCCCGGCGGATTCCCGCGGACTCACTCCGGAGGCGGCTGAGCCATCCCATGCTCCCTTTTCCCTTTCCAAAGGCGATCCCGTGGTCGCTCCGGGAACGGTTCCCGGGAAACCGCTGCTCCCTCCCCCCTTTCCTTCCACTTCCCAATTTTCCCCTTTTTCCATTGGCACGGAGAGCTGGGAATCAAAATCCGCCGGGATTTTTTTTTTTTTTAATTATTATTTTTCCTTTTTTTTTTTTTTTTCCCCTTTCCCTCTCCCATCGCTAGGGAGCGACGCTTTGGAATTGCGGCATCCCGGGAAAAAATAAAATGAAAAATAAAATAAAATAAAAGATAATAAAATAAAAGATAATAAAAGATAATAAAATAAAATAAAATAAAATAAAATAAAATAAAATAAAATAAAGTAAAATAAAATAAATTAATATAAAATAAAATAAAATAAAATAAAATAAAATAAAATAAAATAAAGTAAAATAAAATAAAGATAAAATAAAATAAATTAAATTAAAATTAAATTAAATTAAATTAAAATAAAATAAGATAAAAAAATAAATAAAAAATAAAATAAAATAAAATAAAAAAATAATAAATAGAAATAAAATAAAATAAAATAAAATAAAATAAAATAAATAGAAATAAAATAAAATATAAAATAAAATAAAATAAAGATAAAATAAAATAAATTAAATTAAATTAAAATTAAATTAAATTAAAGTAAAATAAAATAAAATAAGATAAAAATAAATAAAAAATAAAATAAAATAAAATAAAATAATAAAATAAAATTTAAATAAAATAAAATAAAATAAAATAAAATAAAATAAAAATAAAATAAAATAAAATAAATAGAAATAAAATAAAAATAAAATAAAATAAAATAATTTTTTTTTTTTTTTTTAAACAGGGATTCACTCACTTTTTTTTGATGAGCTCCGCGGGATCCGGCCGGGATTTGGGAGCGGGAGAAGTTGGAGCCGCTTCCAGGGGTCGGCCGGAGCCGTTGCCGGCGCCGGGAATGCCGCGGGTTCTTGCTGCCATCTTCTGGAGCTGGGACAAAAAACATCCCAACCTTCCCTCCCCCTCATTCCCCCCTCCCCCGTTCCAGCATTCCAGGGAATTCGGGGCTTCCCGGCCGTCCAAACCTCAATCATTCCATTATTTACTTGGATAATTCCACTTCGGAATGAGTTTTGGGGGGCTTTTCCCGAGGAAAATCCTGGAAAAGCGCGGGAATGAGGGTGGGTGGGTGGATGGGGTCAGGTTGTGGGTTCATCCCATTTTTCCTCATCCTTTGGGATCAGGGTTGGGGAAAGGGATTGGAGGGATGGATCGGGCTGAAATTCCCGGATTTTTCCCTTCTTTTCCCATCTCCTGGAGGGAATCATTTGGATTGCTGCATCCCGGAGCAATCTGAAAGGATTCGGGGATCCCAAAAATCTGGGATTTTCCATAAATTATCCCCCGGAATATTCCCAACCCTTGACGCCCAGCCCCACCAGGGCCTGCGAAATTCCCTGGAAAAGGAACATTCCAGGAAGGAAGGAAAAAAACCCCAAAAAGCAGGAATTGGGCAAGAAGAGGTGGAAACTTTCCCCAAATTTGGGCCCATCCCGGGAACCCTGGCAGGGCCTCAGCCCCTTCCCCCCTGCCCTCCCCCTCCGTCCCATCCCATTCCCAACCTCCCACGATTTCCATGGAAACCGCGGATCCCAATCCCATGGCAACCCCCCATGGCAACGGGCAGCTCCCACATCCCGGAGCAGCAGCAGGAGCAGGAGGAGGAGGAGGAGGAGGAGGAGGAGGAGGAGGGAAAGGACCCGGGAATGCTGGGCCTGGAGGGCTCTGCTCCCTGCCTGAATTCATGGAATTCATGGAATTCCCAGAAATCCTGGAGCTCGGCCCCCGCGCGAGGGAGGCTGGAAAAGCAAATTCCCGGGAATGGGGAGTGGGATTTCTGTCCTGGGACGCTGCCAGGGATTCTCTGGGAATCCCAGCCCAGCCGGGAATCCCTTCCCAGGATCCCAGCATCCCCAGCTCCCCTTTCCCACTGGAAGCCATTCCCTGGCTCCTGCCCCTCCAGCCTTCATCCCCAATCCCAAATCCCAGCTCTCCTTTCCCTCTGGAAAAGGCTCCAAGGATTCCCTGGATCCTGCCCTGATCCAGCTGCACATTCCCAGCTGCTCTCCCAGCCTGGCGTTGGATCCATCCCCATCCCGACTCCTCTCCAGGAAAGAATTTCGGGATCCAGGGATTTCACTGGAAATTCAGGACTCCAGGAAGGGTCTCCCTTCCCTTTTCCATCCCCAAATTCCATAAAAATCCCTCGGGATGGATCCTGAGTGTCCCTGATCCCAGAATCCCGGAATGGTTTGGGATGGGATCCATGGACCCTCAATCCCATCCCAGGGACACTTCCCACCATCCCAGGGTGCTCCAAATCCACCCTTGGACGCTCCCAGGGATCCAGGGATTCTCTGGGAATTCCAGCCCAGCCAGGAATCCCTTCCCAAGATCCCACAATCCTAAGCTCCCCTTTCCCGTGGAATTCCCTCCATTCCCAGCTGCTCTCCCAACCTGGCGTTGGATCCAGCCCCATCCCGACTCCTCCTTGAGAAGGAATTTCGGGATCCAGGGGCTTCACTGGGAATTCAGGACTCCAGGAAGGGTCTCCCTTCCCTTTCCCATCCCTGAATTCCATAAAAATCCCTCGGGATGGATCCTGAGTGCCCCTGATCCCAGAATCCCAGAATGGTTTGGGATGGAATCCATGGACCCTCAATCCCATCCCATTCCCACCCCGATCCCGGGGTGCTCCAACCTTTCCTGGGACATTCCCAGGCATTCTCTGGGAATTCCATTCCAGCCCCTTCCCTCATTCCATCCCCATCCCCAGCTCCCGGACGGGGCGGGAGGATCTCTCCCGGTGCCTTTTTCCCGCTGTTTCCCACGGAAAACGCACCGGGAAAATTTGGAAAATTTGGGAGCGGGGGGGAGGGGGGAGGGGTCCATGATGCTCCCGCCGTTGCCAAGCAACGGGAAGCGCTATTGCGCATGCGCAGCAACGCCCCCGAGATAACGCACGCGTTGCCAGGCAACGAGGGACGCTCAGGGTGCGCGCATGCGCAGTGGGCGCCGCGCAGCGGCCGTTGCCGGGGTGGGGTGTAACGGGAGCCGCGCATGCGCAGTAACGGGCGCGCACCTGCCCCCAGGTGCGCTCATGGAGCCGGGGGAGGACGGGGCGGGCCCAGGCCCGGGCCTGGAGCTCGCGGAGCTCGAGCCCGAGCCTGAACTCGATCCTAAACTCCATCCCAAGCCGGATCCCGGTGCCGATCCCGGTGCCGATCCCGGTACCGGTCCCGAAATCGATTCCGGTCCTGGTCCCGTTGCTGATCCCGGTCCCGGTGCCGATGCCGTTCCCGATGCCGGTGCCGATGCCGTTCCCGATGCCGGTGCCGATGCCGATGCCGATGCCGTTCCCGATGCCGGTGCCGATGCCGGTACCGGGTCCGGTGCGGACTGGGCGCGGCAGCAGCGAATCGCCGCCCGCCGGACCCGCATCGATGTCCGGCGCCGGTGAGGAACGGGGGGCCGGGCCCCATTCCCGGTTTTCCAGAGGGATGGGGGTGGTCCTGGGTGGGTTCCCCACCCCAAACTGGGCCGGAGATCAGGAGCCGACCCCAAAGCCGGGGCTCCGAATCAGAACCGGGGCTCGGAACCGAAACGGGGACTCGGAACCGAAACCGGGACTCGGGATTTGTCCCAAACCCATCCCAGGGCCTCAGGAACATTCCCAGAACTCAGAGTCCATCCCAAACCCAATCCCAGGCTTGGGATCCCTCCCAAACACACCCCACGGGCTCAGGATTGACCCCAAATCCCTCCCACGGGCTCAGGAGTATTCCCAGAAATCAGGATCCATCCCAAATCCAATCCCAGAAATCAGGATCCATCCCAAACCCAATCCCAGGCTCAGGATCCATCCCAAACCCATCCCCAGTGCTCAGGACCATTCCCAGTGCTCCAAACCCATCCCAAACCAAATCCCAGGCTCAGGATCCAATCCCAGGGCTCCAAACCCATCCCAAACCCATCCCCAAGGCTTGGGATCTAATTCCAAACCCAATCCCAATCCCAGAGCTCAGGATCCATCCCAAACCCAATCCCAAAGGCTCAGGATCCATCCCAATCCCAATCCCAGGCTCAGGATCCATCCCAAACCCAATCCCAAAGGCTCAGGATCCATCCCAATCCCAATCCCAGAGCTCAGGATCCATCCCAATCCCAATCCCAGACTCAGGATCCATCCCAAAGGCTGAGGATCCATCCCAATCCCAGAGCTCAGGACCATTCCCAGGGCTCCAAACCCATCCCAAATCCATTCCCAGGGCTCAGGATCCACCCCAAATGCTCAGGATCCATCCCAATCTCAAACCCGGACTCAGGATCCATCCCAATCCCAATCCCAGACTCAGGATCCACCCCAAAGGCTGAGGATCCATCCCAATCCCAATCCCAGAGCTCGGGACCATTCCCAGGGCTCCAAACCCATCCCAAATCCATTCCCAGGGCTCAGGATCCATCCCAAATGCTCAGGATCCATCCCAATCCCAATCCCAGACTCAGGATCCATCCCAAAGGCTGAGGATCCATCCCAAATCCCAATCCTGAGCTCAGGATCCATCCCAAACCCAATCCCAGACTCAGGATCCATCCCAAATGCTCAGGATCCATCCCAATCCCAATCCCAGACTCAGGATCCATCCCAAAGGCTGAGGATCCATCCCAAATCCCAATCCTGAGCTCAGGATCCATCCCAAACCCAATCCCAGACTCAGGATCCATCCCAAAGGCTCAGGATCCATCCCAATCCCAATCCCAGACTCAGGATCCATCCCAAAGGCTGAGGATCCATCCCAAATCCCAATCCTGAGCTCAGGATCCATCCCAGACGCAATCCCAGACTCAGGGTCCATCCCAAAGGCCCAGGATCCATCCCAATCCCAAACCCGGACTCAGGATCCATCCCAAACCCAATCCCAGAGCTCAGGATCCACCCCAAAGGCCCAGGATCCATCCCACACCCAATCCAGGCTCAGGATCCAATCCCAGGGCTCCAAACCCATCCCAAACCCATCCCCAAGGCTCAGGATCTAATTCCAAACCCAATCCCAATCCCAGAGCTCAGGATCCATTCCAAACCCAATCCCAAAGGCTCAGGATCCATCCCAAACCCAATCCTAGACTCAGGATCCATCCCAATCCCAATCCCAGGCTCAGGATCCATCCCAAAGGTTCAGGATCCATCCCAATCCCAGAGCTCAGGACCATTCCCAGGGCTCCAAATCCATCCCAAATCCATTCCCAGGGCTCAGGATCCACCCCAAATGCTCAGGATCCATCCCAATCCCAGACTCAGGATCCATCCCAGACGCAATCCCAGATTCAGGGTCCATCCCAAAGGCCCAGGATCCATCCCAATCCCAATCCCAGAGCTCAGGATCCATCCCAAACCCAATCCCAGAGCTCAGGATCCACCCCAAAGGCTCAGGATCCATCCCAATCCCAAACCCGGACTCAGAATCCATCCCAAACCCAATCCCAGAGCTCAGGATCCACCCCAAAGGCTCAGGATCAATCCCAATCCCAGACTCAGGATCCATCCCAAACCCCAATCCCGAGCTCAGGATCCATCCCAATCCCAATCCCGGACTCAGGATCCATCCCAATCCAAAACCCAGAGCTCAGGATCCATCCCAAAGGCTGAGGATCCATCCCAATCCCAATCCCAGAGCTCAGGACCATTCCCAGGGCTCCAAACCCATCCCAAATCCATTCCCAGGGCTCAGGATCCCCCCCAAATGCTCAGGATCCATCCCAATCCCAATCCCAGACTCAGGATCCATCCCAGACGCAATCCCACACTCAGGATCCATCCCAAACCCAATCCCAGAGCTCAGGATCCACCCCAAAGGCTCAGGATCCATCCCAATCCCAGACTCAGGATCCATCCCAAATCCCAATCCCGAGCTCAGGATCCATCCCAATCCCAAACCCGGACTCAGGATCCATCCCAATCCGAAACCCAGAGCTCAGGATCCATCCCAAAGGCTGAGGATCCATCCCAATCCCAATCCCGAGCTCAGGATCCATCCCAATCCGAAACCCAGAGCTCAGGATCCACCCCAAAGGCTCAGGATCCATCCCAATCCCAGACTCAGGATCCATCCCAATCCCAGGGCTCAGGATCCACCCCAAAGGCTCAGGATCCATCCCAATCCCAGGCTCAGGATCCATCCCAAAGGCTCGGGATCCATCCCAATCCCAGTCCCAATCCCAGAGCTCAGGACCATTCCCAAATCCCAGCACATTCCCACACTGGGGGCTGGGAGGGGGCAGGGGCCCAGTCCCCAAAGCGGCCCCAGGCCGGGGCCTCCCCTGGATCCCAAACATTCCCAAACAATTCCCGGGCGGACGCAGGAGCTCCGGGATCCCCCTGGGAGGAGATTCCCGATCCCAGGGATCACCATTCCCAATCCCAGCCGATCCCAAAGTTCAGGACATCTCATCCCTGGGACAGTCCCGTTCCCACTTGGACAAATCCCCGTTCCCACCCCCGGATCCATCCCAGGATCCTTTCCCCAAAGGATTTTCCCTGGGATCGAACTGGATCCCATGGATTCTCCCTCTGGATTGGATCCCACCCAGCTGGGGCTGGGTCAGGATCCCGCTTTTCCCGCTGTTTTTAGGGAAATTGGGATGGAAAGCACCGCTTCCCCCCCCAGCCTGACCCACAGGGAGGTGCCCATGGATCCCATTCCCAGCAGGAATTCCGAATTCATGGAATCTCACCTGTCAACCCCGCCGGGCTCCTCCTTCCCTTCCCGATCCCTAATCTCTTCCCTGATCCCACCAGGGATTGATCCCATTGGAAGGATCCCATTGGGATCATCCCTAATCCTTTGCTGATCCCACCTGGGATTGATCCCACTGGAAGGATCCACCGGGGTCATCCCAAATCCCTCCCTGATCCCACCTGGGACTGATCCCACTGGAATATCCCAAGTGGGAAGGATCCCATTGGGATCATCCCAAACCCTTTCCCGATCCCACTGGAATGTCCTGAGTGGGAAGGATCCCACTGGGATCATCCCAAATCCCTTCCCGATCCCATTGGAATATCCTGAGAAGGAAGGATCCCACCAGGATCATCCCAAATCCTTCCCTGATCCCATTGGAATATCCTGAGAAGGAAGGATCCAACCAGGATCATCCCAAATCCTTTCCTGATCCCACTGGAATGTCCTGAGTGGGAAGGATCCCACTGGGATCATCCCAAATCCTTTCCCAATCCTACCTGGGATTGATCCCACTGGAAGGATCCCACTGGGATCATCCCAAATCCCTTCCCTGATCCCATTGGAATATCCTGAGAAGGAAGGATCCAACCAGGATCATCCCAAATCCTTTCCTGATCCCATTGGAAGGATCCACCAGGATCATCCCAAATCCTTTCCCAAGGAAGCACCTGGGACTGATCCCACTGGAATCTCTTGAGTGGGAAGGATCCCACCGGGATCATCCCAAATCCTTTCCTGATCCCATGGGAATATCCTGAGCTGGAAGGATCCCACCGGGATCATCCCGAATCCCAAAAAAATCATCATCCCAATCCCAAATCCCCCCAAAAATTATATTAATTAAATTCACATTAATTATACCATATTACAATATATTCTATTCTATTACATTACATTATATTATAATATATTAGTTTATATTATATTGGTTTATATTATATTGGTTTATATTATATTGGATTATATTATATTATATTATATTATATTATATTATATTATATTATATTATATTATATTTATTATATTATATTTATTATATTATATTTATTATATTTATTATATTTATATATAAATTTTATACATGTTTATATCAATTAAATTAAATTACATTAATACATAAAATTCTTATAAATATTCTTATTAAATATAATAAAATATTCCCAACTTTTCCCGGTTTTGCTCCCAGGGAAGCGCTTGGAGAGAAGGTGGAGCAGGAAGAGGAGGAGGAGGAGGAGGAAGAGAAGAGCAAGAGCCTGAAGCTGATTGAGGAGACCGAGAGGGTGGGGAAGGATTTGGGAATTTCCTCTTGGATTCTTTCTTATCCCTTATTTTCCTCCTTTTTTGGGCCAAAAACTGTGAGAGATGAGACAAAAAAAAAAAAGGGAGAAGAACGCCTTAGGACCGGGATTTGGGATCCAATGGGAATTTCCTCTTGGACCCCTCCTTGTTCCATGTTTTCCTTCTTGGCTTCTCCTTGATGGGACGAAAAAAATGGGAGAACACCACCTTAGGACCGGGATTTGGGATCTTTCTGGGAATGATGGGAATTTTCTCTTGGATCCCTCCTTGTTCCTTCTGTTTTCCTTCTTGGTGTCCCCTTGGTGGGACAAAAATCCAGGAGAGAAACTCCCCAGGAGTGGGATTTGGGATCTGATGGGAATCTTCTCTTGGGTCCCTCCTTGTCCCTTATTTTCCTCATTTTGGGGCCAAAAACCGGGAGAGAAACTCCCCAGGAGTGGGATTAGGGCTGGATCATCGGGATCCGATGGGAATCTCTTGGATCCATCCCTGTCCCTTGTTTTGATCCTTGGTGTCCCCTTGGTGGGACGAAAATCCAGGAGAAAACCTCCCCAGGAGTGGGATTTGGGATCCAATGGGAATTTTCTCTTGGATTGCTCCTTGTTCCATGTTTTCCTTCCTGGTGTCTCCTTGGTGGGACAAAAACTTGGGAGAGAAATTCAACAGGACCAGGATTTGGGATCCGATGGGAATTTCCTCTTGGATCCATCCTTATCCCATGTTTTGATCCTTGGTGTCCCATTGGTGGGACAAAAATCCAGGAGAAAAACCTCCCCAGGAGTGGGATTTGGGATCTGATGGGAATCTCCTCTTGGATCCCTCCTTGTCCCTTATTTTCCTCATTTTGGGGCCAAAAACTGGGAGAGAAACTCCCCAGGAGTGGGATTGGGGCTGGATCATCGGGATCCGATGGGAATCTCTTGGATCCATCCCTGTCCCTTGTTTTGATCCTTGGTGTCCCCTTGGTGGGACAAAAATCCAGGAGAAAACCTCCCCAGGACCAGGATTTGGGATCTGATGGGAATCTCCTCTTGGATTCCTCCATGTTCCATGTTTTCCTTCTTGGTGTCCCATTGATGGGACAAAAACTTGGGAGAGAAATTCAACAGGACCAGGATTTGGGATCCAATGGGAATTTCCTCTTGGATCCCTCCTTGTTCCATGTTTTCCTTCTTGGTGTCCCCTTGGTGGGACAAAAATCCAGGAGAAAAACCTCCCCAGGACCGGGATTTGGGATCTGATGGGAATTTCCTCTTGGATCCCTCCTTGTCCCTTATTTTCCTCTTTTTGGGGCCAAAAACCAGGAGAGAAACTCCCCAGGAGTGGGACTGGGGCTGGATCATCGGGATCCGATGGGAATCTCTTGGATCCATCCCTGTCCCTTGTTTTGATCCTTGGTGTCCCCTTGGTGGGACGAAAATCCAGGAGAGAAACTCCCCAGGAGTGGGATTTGGGATCTGATGGGAATCTCCTCTTGGATCCATCCTTGTTCCACGTTTTCCTCCTTGGTGTCTCCTTGGTGGGACAAAAACTTGGGAGAGAAACTCCCCAGGAGTGGGATTGGGGCTGGGAATTTCCTTCCTTGTTCCATGATCCTTCCTTGTTCCTTCTGTTTTTCTTCTTGGTGTCCCATTGATGAGACAAAAAATAGGGAAAAACCTCCCCAGGACCAGGATTTGGGATCCGATGGGAATTTCCTCTTGGATCCCTCCCTCCATGTTCCATGTTTTCCTTCTTGGTGTTCCCTTGGTGGGACAAAAATCCAGGAGAGAAACTTCCCAGGAGTGGGATTTGGGATCCAATGGGAATTTCTTGGATTCCTCCTTATCCCTCCTTCTGCTCCTTGGTGTCCCCATTGATGGGGAAAAAAAATGGGGAGAGAAATTCAACAGGAGTGGGATTTGGGATCCAATGGGAATCTCCTCTTGGATTCCTCCATATTCCATGTTTTCCTTCTTGGTGTCCCATTGATGAGACAAAAAATTGGGAAAAAACTCCCCAGGAGTGGGATTTGGGATCCAATGGGAATTTCCACTTGGATCCCTTCTTATCCCTTGTTTTCCTCCTTTTTGGGCCAAAAACCAGGAGAGAAACTCCCCAGGAGTGGGATTTGTGCTGGGAATTTCCTTGTTCCATGATCCTTCCTTGTTCCATGTTTTCCTTCTTGGTGTCCCATTGATCAGACGAAAAATAGGGAAAAAACTCCCCAGGACCGGGATTTGGGATCCAATGGGAATCTCCTCTTGGATTCCTCCTTGTTCCACGTTTTCCTTCTTGGTGTCCCCTTGGTGGGACAAAAACTTGGGAGAGAAATTCAACAGGACCAGGATTTGGGATCCAATGGGATTTTTCTCTTGGATCCCTCCTTGTTCCTTCTGTTTTCCTTCTTGGTGTCCCATTGATGGGACAAAAATCCAGGAGAAAAACCTCCCCAGGACTGGGATTTGGGATCTGATGGGAATCTCGTCTTGGATCCCTCCTTGTCCCTTATTTTCCTCTTTTTGCGACCAAAAACCGGGAGAGAAACTCCCCAGGAGTGGGATTGGGGCTGGATCATCGGGATCCGATGGGAATCTCTTGGATCCATCCCTGTCCCTTGTTTTGATCCTTGGTGTCCCCTTGGTGGGACGAAAATCCAGGAGAAAACCTCCCCAGCACCGGGATTTGGGATCCGATGGGAATCTCCTCTTGGATTCCTCCATGTTCCACATTTTCCTTCTTGGTGTCTCCTTGGTGGGACAAAAACTTGGGAGAGAAATTCAACAGGACCAGGATCTGGGATCCAATGGGAATTTCCTCTTGGATCCATCCTTATCCCATGTTTTGATCCTTGGTGTTCCTTTGGTGGGACAAAAATCCAGGAGAAAAACTCCCCAGGACCGGGATTTGGGATCCGATGGGAATTTCTTCTTGGATTCCTCCATGTTCCACGTTTTCCTTCTTGGTGTTCCCTTGGTGGGACAAAAATCCAGGAGAGGAACTTCCCAGGAGTGGGATTTGGGATCTGATGGGAATTTCTTGGATTCCTCCTTATCCCTCCTTCTGCTCCTTGGTGTCCCCATTGATGGGGAAAAAAATGGGAGAGAGAAATTCAACAGGAGTGGGATTTGGGATCCAATGGGAATCTCCTCTTGGATCCCTCCATATTCCATGTTTTCCTTCTTGGTGTCCCATTGATGAGACAAAAAATAGGGAAAAAACTCCCCAGGAGTGGGATTTGGGATCCAATGGGAATTTCCACTTGGATCCCTTCTTATCCCTTGTTTTCCTCCTTTTTGGGCCAAAAACCAGGAGAGAAACTCCCCAGGAGTGGGATTTGTGCTGGGAATTTCCTTGTTCCATGATCCTTCCTTGTTCCATGTTTTCCTTCTTGGTGTCCCATTGATGAGACAAAAAATAGGGAAAAACCTCCCCAGGACCGGGATTTGAGTGGGATCCTTGGTGCTGGGAATGGTTGGGCTTTTCCAACCTTTTATGGGGGTTCTGGGATGGAATTCCTGGATGGGATTCCGGGATTGGGACTCTGGGATGGGATTATGGGATGGAATGGGATTCTGGGATGGGATTATGGGATGGGATTATGGGATGGGATGGGGTGGAATTGTGGGGTGGGATTCTGGGATGGGATTATGGGATTATCGGATGAGATTATGGAATGGGATTCTGTGATGGGATGGGATTCTGGGATGGGATTCTGGGATGGGATTCTGGGATTATCAAATGAGATTATGGAATGGGATTCTGGGATGGGATTATGGGATGGGATGGAATTGTGGGGTGGGATTCTGGGATGAGCTTATGGGGTGGGATTCTGGGATGGGATTATCAGATGGAATGGGGATTCTGGGATGGGATTATGGGAATATCGGATGAGATTATGGGATGGGATTCTGTGGTGGGATGGGATTCTGGGATGGGATTCTGGGATGGGATTCTGGGATGGGATTCTGGGATGGGATGGAATTGTGGGGTGGGATTATGGGATGGGATGGGATGGGATGGGATGGGATGGGATGGGATGGGATGGGATGGAATTGTGGGGTGGGATTCTGGGATGGGATTCCAGGATGAGATTATGGGGTGGGATTCCGGGATGGGATTCCAGGATGAGATTATGGGGTGGGATTCTGGGATGGGATTCAGGGAAGGGATTTAGGGGCAAAAAAAAAAAAAAAAAAAAAGAAAGGGGATTTCGGGATCTTTTAGGGGACTGGCATTTGACCGGGATCCTTGGATCCTTGGATTCCCGCCCAGGGCAGGGACAGGGAGGCTCCGGGATCGGCGCATTCCAAGCCCAGATTCCCGGGATGTCCCCTTGCCCCGGCAGGCCCTGGCCAAGCTGCTTTTCCACGGGACGCAGCTGCTGACCAGCGTCCAGGTGGAATCCGACCTCCGGGAATCGCGGCGGCGGGAGAAGGACAGGCGGGAGAAGCGCAGGAGGTGAGCGGGGCAGGAGCCGGGGATTTGGGAATTCCGCTGGATTCCCACGGGAAATTCCGGCCCGCGACAAGGTCCCGGAAATCCCACCTGGCCCAGGTGGTTTGAGGGAGTTTTACCTGGAGGTTTCCTGGAGAGGTGGAGATGGATTTGGGAATGGGGCGGAGGGATGGGAAACAGGGAATGGCTTCCAGTGGGAAAGGGGAGTTTGGGATGGTGGGATCCTGGGAAGGGATTCCTGGCTGGGCTGGAATTCCCAGAGAATCCCTGGGAGTGTCCAAGGAAAGGCAGGAGCACCCTGGGATGGTGGGGTGGGAATGGGATGGGATTGAAGGTCCATGGATCCCATCCCAAACCATTCTGGGATATTTTTATGGAATTCGGGGATGGAAAAGGGAAGGGAGACCCTTCCTGGAGTCCTGAACTCCCACTGAAACCCCTGGATCTCAAAATTCCTACTCAAGGAAGAATCAGGATAGGGCTGGATCCAACGCCAGGCTGGGAGAGCAGCTGGGAATGTGCAGCTGGATCAGGGGAGGATCCAGGGAATCCTTGGATCCTTTTCCAGAGGGAAAGGAGAGCTGGGATTGGGGCAAGGGCTGGAGGGAGCCAGGGAATGGTTTCCAGTGGGAAAGGGGAGTTTGGGATGCTGGGATCCTGGGAAGGGATTCCTGGCTGGGCTGGGATTCCCAGAGAATCCCTGGCAGTGTCCATGGAAAGGTTGGAGCACCCTGGGATGGCGGGGTGGGAATGGGATGGGATTGAAGGTCCATGGATCCCATCCCAAACCATTCCGGGATTCTGGGATCAAGGACACTCAGGATCCATCCCGAGGGGTTTTTATGGAATTCAGGGATGGAAAAGGGAAGGGAGACCCTTCCTGGAGTCCCCAATTCCCAGTGAAGCCCCTGGATCCCGAAATTCCTTCTCAAGGAGGGGTCGGGATGGGGCTGGATCCAACGCCAGGCTGGGAGAGCAGCTGGGAATGTGCAGCTGGATCAGGGGAGGATCCAGGGAATCCTTGGAGCCGCTTCCCCATCCCAAAGGGGCTCCAGGAGAGCTGGGATTGGGGCAAGGGCTGGAGGGAGCCAGGGAATGGCTTCCAGTGGGAAAGGGGAGCTTGGGATGGTGGGATCCTGGGAAGGGATTCCTGGCTGGGCTGGGATTCCCAGAGAATCCCTGGGGGTATGCAAGAGTGGATTTGGAGCACCCTGGGATGGTGGGAAGTGTCCCTGGGATGGGATTGAAGGTCCATGGATCCCATCCCAAACCATCCTGGAATTCCTTCTTGGAATTCCTGAGCACATTCCAGGAAAGGCCCTGCCCATCCTGCTCTGGCAGCGCAATTTTTTCCCCACTGGGATTTTTTTTCCAAAGGTTTTTCCAGACTCTGGGCATTCCCTGATCCTCCCATCAGGATCATTCCTGGGTGGCTCTGTCCTGCTTTTCCATCAGCCCCATTCCCAGAAATTCCAGGAAACACCAAATCCACACTCCTGGGATTTAGGGAAGGGATTCAGGGGAGGAATTCAGGGATTTAGGGAAGGGATTTAAGGAAGGAAAGGAATTCAGGGAATGGATTTAGGAAACGGATTTAGGGAAGGAAAAGGATCTAGGGAAGGGATTTAGGGAAGGAAAGGGATTTTAGGGAGGGGATTTAGGGAAGGGAATTTGGGAGGGGATTTAGGGAAAGGATTTAGGGAGGGGATTCAGGGGGAAGATTTAGGAAAAGGGTTTTAGGGATGGGATTTAGGAAAGAGATTTAAGGAAGGAAAGGGATTTTAGGGAGGGAATCTGGGGAAGGGATTCAAGGAAGGGATTTTGGGAAAGGATTTAGGGAAGGAAATGGAAGTAGGGAAGAGATTTAGGGAAGGGATTTTAGGGAAGGAAATTAATTTTAGGGAGGGGATTTAGGGAAGGGATTCAGGGAGAGGATTTAGGAAAGGAAAGGGATTTAGGGGAAGGATTTAGAGAAGGGATTTAGGGAAGGGATTCATGGAAAGGATTTAGGGAAGGAAAGGAATTTTAGGGAGGGGATTTAGGGAAGGGATTCAGGGAAGGGATTCAGGGAAGAGATTTAGGGAAGGGATTCAGGGAATGGATTTAGGGAAGGAAAGGGATTTAGGGAAGGAAAAGGGTTTATGGAATGGATTCATGGAAAGGATTCATGGAAGGGATTTAGGGAAGGAAATTAATTTTAGGGAAGGGATTTAGGGAGAGGATTTAGGAAAGGAAAGGGATTTAGGGAAGGGATTCATGGAAAAGATTTAGGGAAGGAAAGGAATTTTAGGGAAGGGATTTAGGGAATGGATTCAGGGAAGGGATTCAGGGAAGGGAAGGAATTCAGGGAAGGAAAGGGATTTAGGGAAGAGATTCAGGGAAGGGATTCAGGGAATGGATTTAGGAAAGGGATTTGGGAAAGAGATTTAAGGAAGGAAAGGAATTTTAGGGAGGGAATCGAGGGAAGGGAATCAAAGAAGGGATTTAGGTAAGGGATTTAGGGGAGGGATTTAGGGAAGGAAAGGGATTTAGGGAAGAGATTTAGGGAAGTGATTTAGGGAAGGAAAGGGATTTTAGGGAGGGGATTTAGGGAAGGGATTTTAGGGAAAGGATTCATGGAAGGGATTTAGGGAAGGAAATTAATTTTAGGGACGGGATTTAGGGAAGGGATTCAGGGAGAGGATTTAGGAAAGGAAAGGGATTCAGAGAAGGGATTTAGGGAAGGGATTTAGGGAAGAGATTTAGGGAATGGATTCAGGGAAGGAAAGGAATTCAGAGAAGGGATTTAGGGAAGGAAAGGAATTCAGGTAAGGGTTTTAGGGAAGGGATTCAGGAATGGGATTTAGGAATGGGATTTAGGGAAGGGATTTAGGGAAGGAAAAGGGTTTATGGAATGGATTCATGGAAAGGATTCATGGAAGGGATTTAGGGAAGGAAAGGAATTCAGGAAAGAAAAGGGATTCAGGGAAGGGGATTTTGGGAAGGGATTCATGGAAGGGATTTAGGGAAGGGGTTTAGAGAAGGAAAAGGATTCAGGGAAGGGATTCAGGGAATGGATTTAGAAAATGGATTTAGGAAATGGATTTAGGGAAAGGATTTAGGGAATGAATTTAGGAAAGTGTTTTAGGGAAGAGATTTAGGAAAGGGATTTTAGGGAGGGGATTCAGGGAAGGAAAGGGATTTAGGGAAGGGATTCATGGAAGGGATTTAGGGAAGGAAAGGGATTTTAGGGAAGGGATTTAGGGAATGGATTTAGGGACGGAAAGGGATTTAGGGAAGAGGTTTAGGGAAGTGATTTTAGGAAGGGATTTTGGGAAGGAAAGGAATTCAGGGAAGGAAAGGGATTCAAGGAAGGGATTTAGGGAAGGGATTCAGGGAAAGAATTCAGGAAAGAGATTCAGGGGAGAGATTTGGGGAAGGGATTCAGGGGAGAGATTCAGGGAAGGAATTCAAGGAAGGGATTCAGGGAAGGAATTCAAGGAAGGCATTCAGGAAAGGGATTCAGGGAAGGAATTCAGGGAAGGGATTCAGGGAAGGGACTCAGGGAAGGGATTCAGGGAAGGGATTCAGGGAAGGGATTCAGGGAAGGGATTCAGGAATGGGATTCAGGAAAGGGATTCAGGGAAGGGATTCAGGGAAGGGATTCAGGAAAGGAATTCAGGGAAGGGATTCAGGGACGGGATTCAGGGAGGGATGAACCCCATGTGTGGATCACTCCCAGCCCTATCCCAGCTCCCAGATTCCCTGTGTTGCCTCAGGCTGGAGAAGCTGGAGGCGGACGCCGTGCACGGCACGGAGAAGTTGGAGGAGATCAACTCCAAGTGGGCCCTGGCGGGGGAGGTGAAGATCCCGCAGGAATTGTGGGAGCTGCTGGAGCAGCAGCGGGAGGAATGCGAGCAGCTCCTGGCCGGGAAGAACCGGCTCATCCGGGAGCTCCAGGAGGTATTTGGGAATGCTCGGGGCACCCCTGGTGTGGATCCGGGGCTGGGAGAGCAGCTGGGAATGTGCAGCTGGATCAGGGGAGGATCCAGGGAATCCTTGGAGCCGCTTCCCCATCCCAAAGGGGCTCCAGGAGAGCTGGGATTGGGGCAAGGGCTGGAGGGGCAGGAGCCAGGGAATGGCTTCCAGTGGGAAAGGGGAGCTTGGGATGCTGGGATCCTGGGAAGGGATTCCCAGAGAATCCCTGGGAATGTCCCAGGCGAGGTTGGATCAGCCTGGGATCGCAGGGTTGGAATTGGGTGATCCTCAAGCTCCCTTCCCACCCAATCCCTGATAGTTCCGTGTCCTGCCCCTTTCCCCGAGGATTCTCCGGGGATTCCCCAAGGATTCCCAGAGGGTTCCCTGATGATTCCCTGAGGAGTCCCCGAGGATTACCCGAGGATTCCCCAAGGATTCACTGATGATCCCTGAGGATCCCTGGAGGATTCCCTGAGGATTCACCGATGATTCACCGAGGATTCCGCCGAGGATCCCCTGAGGATTTCCCCGAGGAGTCCCCGAGGATCCCCTAAGGATTCACTGATGATTCCCTGAGGGCTCCCCAATGATTCCCCAATGATTCCCCGAGGATCCACCGAGGATCCCCGATGATTCCCTGAGGATTCCCTGATGATTCCCTGAGGATTCCCCGAGGATTCCCTAAGGATTCACTGAGGATTCCCCGATGATTCCCTGAGGATCCCCGAGGATCCCCTGATGATCCCCTGATGATTCACTGGGGATTCCCCAAGGATTCCCCAGTGATTCCCTGAGGATTCCCCAATGATTCCATGAGGATTCCCCGAGGATTTCCATGAGGATTCCCTGAGGATTCCCCGATGATTCCCCAACGATTCCCGGAGGATTCCCCAAGGATTCCCCGATGATTCCCCGATGATTCCCTGATGCTCCCCTGACGATTCCCGATGATTCCCCAGTGATCCCCCGAGGATTCCCCGATGGTTCCCCAATGCTCCCCCGAGGATTCCCCGATGATCCCCCGAGGATCCCCCGACAATTCCCAAGGATTCCCCGATGATTCCCCGATGATTCCCGATGATTCCCCGATGCTCCCCCGATGATTCCCCAATGCTCCCCCGATGATCCACCGATGATCCCCTGATGATTCCCGATGATTCCCGATGATTCCCCGATGATCCCCGATGATCCCCTGATGATTCCCGATGATCCCTGGATGCTCCCCCGATGATTCCCGATGATCCCCTGATGCTCCCCCGATGCTCCCCTGACGATCCCCCGATGATCCCCTGATGATTCCCGATGATTCCCGACGATCCCCTGATGCTCCCCCGATGATTCCCGATGATTCCCGATGATTCCCGATGCTCCCCCGAGGATCCCCGATGATTCCCCAGCGATTCCCCGATGCTCCCCCAATGCTCCCCCGAGGATCCCCGATGATTCCCGATGATCCCCCGATGATTCCCCGATGCTCCCCCAAGGATCCCCCGAGGATTCCCGATGATTCCCCGATGATTCCCGATGCTCCCCCGATGCTCCCCCGATGCTCCCCCGATGATTCCCGATGATTCCCGATGATTCCCCCAATGATTCCCCCGATGATTCCCCGACGATCCCCAATGCTCCCCCGATGCTCCCCCAACGATTCCCGATGATTCCCCGATGATCCCCCGATGATTCCTGATGATCCCTGGATGCTCCCCCGATGATTCTCGAGGATCCCCGATGCTCCCCCGATGCTCCCCTGACGATCCCCCGATGATCCCCCAATGATTCCCGATGATCCCCCGATGCTCCCCGATGCTCCCCAATGATTCCCCGATGCTCCCCCGATGCTCCCCCGATGATTCCCGATGCTCCCCCGATGATTCCCGATGATTCCCGATGATTCCCAATGCTCCCCCGATGATTCCCGATGATCCCCGGATGCTCCCCCGATGATTCCCGATGATTCCCCGGATGCTCCCCCAATGATTCCCGATGATCCCCGATGATCCCCGATGCTCCCCGATGATTCCCTGATGATTCCCTGATGATTCCCGATGCTCCCCCGATGCTCCCCCAACGATTCCCGATGATTCCCCGACGATCCCCTGATGCTCCGCTGATGCTCCCCCGATGATTCCTGGTGATTCCCGATGCTCCCGGCTGATTCCCGCTGATCCCTGCTGATTCCCGATGCTCCCCCGCTGATTCCCGCTGATTCCCCGATGCTCCCCGCTGATTCCCGCTGACCGCGGCCTCCTTTTCCCTGGATTCCCAGGAGCTGAGGGCCCGGGACGAGCGCTACGAGCAGGCGCTGCGGGAGCAGGCGGAGGCCGTCCGGGTGCTCCTGGAAAGGATGGAGGAGCAGACCCGGGACACGCTCCGGTCCTACCGGCACCACCTCCGGCGCATCGAGGTACGCAAATCCCGGGGAAAACGGGGAAAAACGTCGGGAAAATCGGGAAAATCGGGAAAATCGGGAAAATCGCTTCGTTTTCCGCATTTTCGGGAAAATCAGTCCACAAACACCAGAGGTTTATGGCCAAAAAGGGAACAGGAGTCTTCTTTTTGCTTTGTTCTTTGATATATTTTATATATTCTTTAATTATTTATTTATATAAATTCTTTGATATATTTTGTATATTTGCTTTATATATATATACAAATTCTTTTCTATATTTTATATAATTGCTTTAAATATATATATAAACAATTCTTTTATATATTTTATAGATTTGCTTTATATATATATAAATTCTTTCATATATTTTGTATATTTGCTTTATATATATATAAATTCTTTGATATATTTTATATAATTGCTTTAAATATACATATAAACAATTCTTTTATATATTTTATAGATTTGCTTTATACATATAAATAAATTCTTTCATATATTTTATATAATTGCTTTATATATATATATAAATTCTTTGATATATTTTATATAATTGCTTTAAATATATATATAAACAATTCTTTGATATATTTTATATAATTGCTTTAAATATATATATAAATAAATTCTTTTATATATTTTATATAATTGCTTTAAATATATATATAAACAATTCTTTTATATATTTTATAGATTTGCTTTATATATATCCTTTTATATATTTTATAGATTTGCTTTATATATATATATAAATTCTTTTATATATTTTATATAGTTGCTTTAAATATATATATATAAATTCTTTTATATGTTTTATAGATTTGCTTTATATATATATATAAATTCTTTTATATATTTTGTACATTTGCTTTATATATATATATATAAATTCTTTGATATATTTTATATAATTGCTTTAAATATATATATAAATTCTTTGATGTATTTTATATAATTGCTTTATATATATATATAAACAATTCTTTTATATATTTTTTTGGATTTGCTTTATATATATATAAATTCTTTTATATATTTTGCATATTTGCTTTATATATATATAAATTCTTTGATATATTTTATATAATTGCTTTAAATATATAGATAAACAATTCTTTTATATATTTTATAGATTTGCTTTATATATATATAAATTCTTTGATATATTTTGTATATTTGCTTTATATATATATAAATTCTTTGATATATTTTATATAATTGCTTTAAATATATATAAACAATTCTTTTATATATTTTATAGATTTGCTTTATATATATATATAAATTCTTTTCTATATTTTATATAATTGCTTTATATATAAATTCTTTGATATATTTTATATAATTGCTTTATACATATATAAATAAATTCTTTTATATATTTTTTAGATTTGCTTTATATATATAAAAATTCTTTTCTATATTTTATAGATTTGCTTTATATATGTAAATTCTCTTTTATATTTTATAAATTTGCTTTATATATGTATATATAAATTCTTTTATATATAAATTCTTTTATATATTTTATAGATTTGCTTTATATATATAAATTCTTTTATATATTTTACATCTTTGCTTTATATATATAAATTCTCTTTTATATTTTATAAATTTGCTTTATATATATTCTTTTCTATATTTTATAGATTTTCTTTATATATATAAATTCTCTTTTATATTTTATAAATTTGCTTTGTATATGTATATATAAATTCTTTTATATATAAATTCTTTTCTATATTTTATAGATTTGCTTTTTATATATTCATTTATATATTTTATATATTTTCTAGATTTGCTTTCTATAAAATATATAAAAAAATTTATATATATATTTGCTTTATATATATAAATTCTTTTCTATATTTTATATCTTTACTTTATATATATATAAACTCTTTTATCTATTTTATATATTTGCTTTATATATATAAATTCTCTTTTATATTTTATAAATTTGCTTTATATATGTATATATAAATTCTTTTCTTTATAAATTCTTTGATATATTTTATAGATTTGTTTTCTATAAAATATATAAAAGAATTTATATATATATTTGCTTTATATATATATAAATTCTGTTTTATATTTTATAAATTTGCTTTATATATGTATATATAAATTCTTTTATATATTTTATAGATTTGTTTTATATATATATATATATATATATAAATTCTTTTATATATTTTATAGATTTCCTTTATTGCAATAGAGGGAGAGGCCATGGGGCATTCCCCTGGGATCTCTCCAATTTTTGGAGGATGCAGCCTCCATTTTATCCCCATTTCCTTCCCTTTTTATCCCCATTTCCTTCCCTTTTTATCCCCATTTCCTTCCCTTTTTATCCCCAATTTCCTTCCCTTTTTATCCCAAATTTCCTTCTCTTTTTATCCCAATTTCCTTCCCTTTTTATCCCAAATTTCCTTCCCTTTTTATCCCAATTTCCTTCCCTTTTTATCCCCATTTCCTTCCCTTTTTATCCCAATTTCCTTCCCTTTTTATCCCCATTTCCTTCCCTTTTTATCCCCATTTCCTTCCCTTTTTATCCCCATTTCCTTCCCTTTTTATCCCCAATTTCCTTCCCTTTTTATCCCAAATTTCCTTCTCTTTTTATCCCAATTTCCTTCCCTTTTTATCCCAAATTTCCTTCCCTTTTTATCCCAATTTCCTTCCCTTTTTATCCCAGTTTCCTTCCCTTTTTATCCCAATTTCCTTCCCTTTTTATCCCAATTTCCTTCCCTTTTTATCCCCAATTTCCTTCCCTTTTTATCCCCATTTCCTTCCCTTTTTATCCCAATTTCCTTCCCTCTTTATCCCCAATTTCCTTCCCTTTTTATCCCCAATTCCTTCCATTTTTATCCCCATTTCCTTCCCTTTTTATCCCCGTTTCCTTCCCTTTTTATCCCCATTTCCTTCCCTTTTTATCCCCATTTCCTTCCCTTTTTATCCCCAATTTCCTTCCCTTTTTATCCCCAATTTCCTTCCCTTTTAATCCCCATTTCCTTCCCTTTTTATCCCCATTTCCTTCCCTTTTAATCCCCATTTCCTTCCCTTTTTATCCCCATTTCCTTCCCCTTTAATCCCCATTTCCTTCCCTTTTTATCCCAATTCCTTCCCTTTTTATCCCAATTTCCTTCCCTTTTTATCCCAATTTCCTTCTCTTTTTATCCCCATTTCCTTCCCTTTTTATCCCAATTTCCTTCCCTTTTAATCCCCATTTCCTTCCCTTTTTATCCCAATTTCCTTCCCTTTTTATCCCCATTTCCCAGCTGCATTTTCCTTCTCTCTTTCCCCATTTCTGAGGTACTTGAGAGGTTCAGACTCCCCAAAACTCCCGAGATTTTCCCTCTAATGTCCAACCCTCCCTTTTCATTTTTAATTCTTATGAAATTTAGGATTTTTTCCCCAAAACTCCTGATCCCAAAGATTTTCCCTCTAATGTCCTCTCTTCCTTTTAATTTTTATTTCTTATGAAATTTAGGATTTTTTTCCCATTTCTGAGGTACTTGAGAGGTTCAAATTTCCCAAAACTCCTGAGATTTTCCCTCTAATGTCCAACCCTCCCTTTTAATTTTTAATTTTTATGGAATTTAGGATTTTTTTTCCCAATTTCTGAGGTACAGACTCCCCAAAACTCCTGATCCCAAAGATTTTCCCTCTAATGTCCTCTCTCCCTTTTAATTTTTAATTCTTACGAAATTTAGGGTTTTTTCCCCATTTCTGAGGTACTTGAGAGGTTCAGATTCCCAAAACTCCTGATCCCAAAGATTTTCCCTCTAATGTCCAACCCTCCCTTTTCATTTTCAATTCTTACAAAATTTTGGATTTTTCCCCCATTTCTGAGGTACTTGAGAGGTTCAGATTCCCCAAAACTCCCAACATTATCCCTCTAATGTCCAACCCTCCCTTTTCATTTTTAATTTTTACAGAATTTACGGCTTTTTTCCCCATTTCTGAGGTACAGACTCCCCAAAACTCCTGATCCCAAAGATTTTCCCTCAAATGTCCTCTCTCCCTTTTCATTTTTAATTCTTACAGAATTTAGGATTTTTTTCCCCATTTCTGAGGTACTTGAGAGGTTCAGGCTTCCCAAAACTCCTGATCCCAAAGATTCCCCTCTAATGTCCAACCCTCCCTTTTCATTTCCAATTCTTACGAAATTTAGGATTTTTTCCCCAAAATGCTTGATCCCAAAGATTTCCCTCTAATGTACAACCCCTCCCTTTTCATTTTTAATTGTTACGGAATTTAGGGTTTTTTTCCCCATTTCTGAGGTAAAGACTCCCCAAAACTCCTGATCTCAGAGATTTTCCCTCTAATTTGCAACCCTGCCTTTTAATTTTTCAATTCTTACAGAATTTTGGATTTTTTCCCCATTTCTGAGGTACTTGAGAGGTTCAGATTTCCCAAAACTCCTGATGCCAAAGATTTTCCCTCTAATGTCCTCTCTCCCTTTTAGTTTTCAATTCTTATGGAATTTAGGGTTTTTTTCCCCATTTCTGAGGTACAGACTCCCCAAAATGCCTGATCCCAGAGATTTTCCCTCTAATGTCCTCTCTCCCTTTTCATTTTTAATTCTTACAAAATTTAGGATTTTTTCCCCGTTTCTGAGGTACTTGAGAGGTTCAGACTTCCCAAAACTCCTGAGATTTTCCCTCTAATGTCCAACCCTCCCTTTTCATTTCCAATTCTTACGAAATTTAGGATTTTTTCCCCAAAATGCTTGATCCCAAAGATTTCCTTCTAATGTACAACCCCTCCCTTTTCATTTTTAATTGTTACGGAATTTAGGGTTTTTTTCCCCATTTCTGAGGTAAAGACTCCCCAAAACTCCTGATCTCAGAGATTTTCCCTCTAATTTGCAACCCTGCCTTTTAATTTTTTAATTCTTATGGAATTTAGGGATTTTTCCCCCATTTCTGAGGTACTTGAGAGGTTCAGGCTTCCCAAAACTCCTGAGATTTTCCCTCTAATGTCCAACCCTCCCTTTTAATTTTCCATTCTTACGAAATTTAGGGATTTTTCCCCCATTTCTGAGGTACTTGAGAGGTTCAGGCTTCCCAAAACTCCCGAGATTTTCCCTCTAATGTCCAACCCTCCCTTTTCTTTTTTAATTCTTACAAAATTTAGGAATTTTTTCCCCATTTCTGAGGTACTTGGGAGGTTCAGACTTCCCAAAACTCCCGAGATTTTCCCTGTAATGTCCAATCCTCCCCTTTTAATTTTTAATTCTTATGAAATTTAGGAGTTTTTCCCCAAAATTCCTGATCCCAAAGATTTTCCCTCTAATGTCCTCTCTTCCTTTTAATTTTTATTTCTTATGAAATTTAGGATTTTTTTCCCATTTCTGAGGTACTTGAGAGGTTCAGACTTCCCAAAACTCCTGAGATTTTCCCTCTAATGTCCAACCCTCCCTTTTCATTTTTAATTTTTACAGAATTTACGGCTTTTTTCCCCATTTCTGAGGTACAGACTCCCCAAAACTCCTGATCCCAGAGATTTTCCCTCTAATGTCCAACCTCCCTTTTCATTTTTAATTCTTACCAAATTTAGGAATTTTTTCCCCATTTCTGGGGTACTTGAGAGGTTCAGACTTCCCAAAACTCCTGATCCCAAAGATTCCCCTCTAATGTCCTGTCTTCCTTTTAATTTTTATTTCTTATGAAATTTAGGATTTTTCCCCCATTTCTGAGGTACTTGGGAGGTTCAGACTTCCCAAAACTCCCGAGATTTTCCCTCTAATGTCCAACCCTCCCTTTTAATTTTTAATTTTTACAGAATTTAGGGCTTTTTTCCCCGTTTCTGAGGTACAGACTCCCCAAAATGCCTGATACCAGAGATTTTCCCTCTAATGTCCAACCCTCCCTTTTTCATTTTTAATTCTTATGAAATTTAGGAATTTTTTTCCCCATTTCTGAGGTACTTGAGAGGTTCAGATTCCCAAAACTCCCAACATTTTCCCTCTAATGTCCAACCCTCCCTTTTCATTTTCAGTTTTTATGGAATTTAGGGTTTTTTTCCCCATTTCTGAGGTACAGACTCCCCAAAATGCCTGATCCCAAAGATTTTCCCTCTAATGTCCAACCTTCCTTTTTCATTTAATTCTTACGGAATTTAGGAATTTTTTTCCCCATTTCTGAGGTACTTGAGAGGTTCAGGCTTCCCAAAACTCCCGAGATTTTTCCCTCTAATGTCCAACCCTCCCTTTTCATTTTTAATTTTTACAAAATTTGGGATTTTTTCCCCATTTCACCATTTCCCCATTCCACCCTGCCCTGGTTCAGAATCCCCAAAACTCCTGATCCCAAAGATTTCCCTCTAATGTCCAACCCTCCCTTTTAATTTTTAATTCTTACAAAATTTGGGATTTTTCCCCATTTCTGAGGTACTTGAGAGGTTCAGACTCCCCAAAACTCCCAACATTTTCCCCCTAATGTCCAACCCTCCCTTTTCATTTTTAATTTTTACAGAATTTAGGGGTTTTTTCCCCATTTCTGAGATACAGACTCCCCAAAACACCTGATCCCAAAGATTCCCCTCTAATGTCCAACCCTCCCTTTTAATTTTCAATTCTTACAAAATTTAGGATTTTTTCCCCATTTCTGAGGTACCTGAGAGGTTCAGACTTCCCAAAACTCCCGAGATTTTCCCTCTAATGTCCAACCCTCCCCTTTTAATTTTTAATTCTTATGAAATTTAGGATTTTTTTTCCTATTTCTGAGGTACTTGAGAGGTTCAGACTTCCCAAAACTCCCGAGATTTTTCCCTCTAATGTCCAACCCTCCCTTTTAATTTTCAATTCTTATGGAATTTAGGGGTTTTTTTCCCCATTTCTGAGGTACAGACTCCCCAAAATTCCTGATCCCAGAGATTTTCCCTCTAATGTCCAACCCTCCCTTTTCATTTTTAATTCTTACGAAATTTAGGAATTTTTTTTCCCATTTCTGAGGTACTTGAGAGGTTCAGACTTCCCAAAACTCCTGATCCCAAAGATTTTCCCTCTAATGTCCTCTCTCCCTTTTCATTTTCAATTCTTACAAAATTTAGGGTTTTTTCCCCATTTCTGAGGTACTTGAGAGGTTCAGACTCCCCAAAACTCCCAACATTTTCCCTCTAATGTCCAACCCTCCCTTTTCATTTTTAATTTTTACAGAATTTAGGGCTTTTTTCCCCATTTCTGAGGTACAGACTCCCCAAAACTCCTGATCCCAGAGATTTTCCCTCTAATGTCCTCTCTCCCTTTTCATTTTCAATTCTTACAAAATTTAGGATTTTTTCCCCATTTCTGAGGTACTTGAGAGGTTCAGACTCCCCAAAACTCCCGAGATTTTCCCCCTAATGTCCAACCCTCCCTTTTCATTTTTAATTTTTACTAAATTTTGTGTTTTTTCTCCCCGTTGTTTCTTTCATCTTTCCATGTCTAATTTCATTCATCAGCAAACCCCCAAGTTTATTTGTAAAATCAAATATTTTTTTTCCCACCCATCAATCAGTGGAGTCCTTCCCATTGTTTCTTTCATCTTTCCATGTTTAATTTATCCGCAAACCCCAAAGTTTATTTGTAAAATCAAATTTTTTTTTTTTTTCCCACCCATCAATCAGTGGAACCCTTCCCATTTTTTCCTTTATCTCCCAGTGCTGGTTTTTATCTCCCTGCCCACCCGAATTCTTTGGAATCACCAAATCTGTTCTTCTCGGGATCTTTTGGGGGAGGGAAAAAAAAACCCCAAAAAACTCGGAGCCGTGGGTGGAATTTGGGTGGGTGAGGTTGGAATCCGGAGTTTTGAGAAGGGGTCGGGAACGACTTTGGGAACTGTTCCCATCCCCCCCGAGATCCCAGAGTGAAATTCCCGATTTTTCCGCAGAAAGCGTTCGAGGAGGAGCGGCGGGAGATGCTGGTGAGCAACCGGGAAAGGTGGAACGAGGCCATGCGGGCCCACAACGAGCAGGAGGTGAATCCCGTGGGAGATTCTTGGGATCCCGGGAATCGCTGAGGGTGGGAAAGGCCCCTCTGGGATCGCTGAGTCCAACCATTCCCACAAACCCCCAAAATTGCCAAATCCACGTGGATTTCAATCCCACGGGGAATGGGGAGACTCCACCCTGCCCTGGGCAGCCCTTCCAGGGATGGAAAACCCATTCCAGGTGGGAATTGTTCCAAATTTCCAGCTAAACCTCCCTGGCACTTTCCCACTTATCCCTTAGGGAATTCCAGAGTGGGAAAGGTCCCTCTGGGATCGCCCAGTCCAAACATTCCCATAAACCCCCCAAAATTGCCAAATCCACGTGGATTTCAATTCCGCTGGGAATGGGGAGACTCCGCCCTGCCCTGGGCAGCCCTTCCAGGGCTGGAAAAGCCATTCCAGGTGGGAATTGTTCCCAATTTCCAGCTAAACCTCCCCTGGCACTTTCCCACTTATCCTGTGGGAGTGGTGGCCGATCCCACCTGGGATCAGAATTTTTCCAGGAATTCCAGAGTGGGAAAGGTCCCTCTGGGATCGCCCAGTCCAACCATTCCCACAAACCCCCCCAAAATTGCCAAATCCACGTGGATTTCAATCCCACGGGGAATGGGGACTCCACCCTGCCCTGGGCAGCTCTTCCAGGGCTGGAAAACCCATTCCAGGTGGGAATTGTTCCCAATTTCCAGCTAAACCTTCCCTGGTGCTTTCCCACTTATCCCTTAGGGAATTCCAGAGTGGGAAAGGTCCCTCTGGGATCGCCGAGTCCAAACATTCCCACAACTCCCCTAAAATCACCAAATCCGTGTGGATTTCAATCCCACTGGGAATGGGGACTCCACCCTACCCTGGGCAGCCCTTCCAGGGCTGGAAAAGCCATTCCAGGTGGGAATTGTTCCCAATTTCCAGCTAAACCTTCCCTGGCGCTTTCCCTCTTATCCTGTGGGAGGTGAGGCCGATCCCACCTGGCTCCGACTTTTCCGGGAATTCCAGAGTGGGAAAGGTCCCTCTGGGATCGCCCAGTCCAACCATTCCCAGCCCTAAAATCACCAAATCCGTGTGGATTGTGGATTTCAATCCCACTGGGAATGGGAACTCCACCCTGCCCTGGGCAGCCCTTCCAGGGCTGGAAAGCCCATTCCAGGTGGGAATTGTTCCCAATTTCCAGCTAAACCTTCCCTGGCACTTTCCCACTTATCCTGTGGGAGTGGAGGCCGATCCCACCTGGCTCCGACTTTTCCAGGAATTCCAGAGTGGGAAAGGTCCCTCTGGGATCACCGAGTCCAAACATTCCCACAAATCCCCCAAAATTGCCAAATCCACGTGGATTTCAATCCCACTGGGAATGGGGACTCCACCCTGCCCTGGGCAGCTCTTCCAGGGCTGGAAAACCCATTCCAGGTGGGAATTGTTCCCAATTTCCAGCTAAACCTTCCCTGGCACTTTCCCACTTATCCCTTGGAAGTGGAGGCCGATCCCACCTGGCTCCTGTTTTTCCAGGAATTCCAGAGTGGGAATGGTCCCTCTGGAGCCTCCTGCTCTCCAGGCTGAGACCATTTTTTCCCAGCTCCATCAGCTGCTCCCGGGGCTCCAGCCCCGTTCCCAATCCATTCCCTTCCCTGGACACGCCCCACATTCCAGCCATTCCGTGCTCTGGCATCTGGGAATGCCGGGAAGGCAGCGTGCAGGGGCTGGGGGGATTGGGATTGGGATTGGGATTGGGATTGGGATTGGGATTGGCATTGGGATTGGGATTGGGGTGGTGGGAACAGGCTGGGATTGGGATGGAGGAGGTGGAATGGGGTTGGATGATGTTGGATGGAGTTGGATGATGTTGGATGGGGTTGGATAAGGTTGGATGTTGTTGGATGGGGTTGGATGGGGTTGGAGGAGGTTGGGAGATGAGGTTGGATGGGGTTGGATGGGACTGGATGAGACTGGAGGACGTTGGAGGAGGTTGGATAAGACTGTAGGAGGTGGGATGAGGTTGGAGGAGGTTGGAGGACATTGGAGGAGGTTGGATGAGGTTGGAGGACATTGGAGGAGGTTGGATGAGGTTGGAAGAGGCTGAATGAGGTGGGATGGGCTTGGATGAGGTTGGATGGGCTTGGAATGAGGTTGGGTGAGGTTGGAGGAGGTTGGATAGGGTTGGATGTGGTGGGAGGAGCTTGGATGATGAGGTTGGGTGAGATGGGATGGGGTTGGATGAGGTTGGATGAGGTTGGAGGAGGTTGGAGGAGGTTGGAGGAGGCCGGATGAGATTGGAGGAGGTTGGATGAGTTTGGATGATATGGAATGAGGTTGGACGAGGTGGGAGGCGGTGGGATGAGGTTGGAAGAGGTTGGATGAGCTGGAATGACCTGGGATGAGGTAGGAACAGGTTGGATGAGGCTGGATGAGGTTGGAGGAGGTGGAATGAGGTTGGATGATATGGAATGAGGTTGGACGAGGTGGGAGGTGGTGGGATGAGGTTGGAGGAGGTTGGATGGGGTTGGAGGAGGTGGGATGGGGTTGGGTGAGGTGGGATGGGGTTGGGTGGGATTGGATGGGATTGCATGAGGATGGATGAAGTGGGATGAGGTTGGATGAGAATGGGCTGGGATGGATGAGGTTGGATGAGGTTGGAGGAGGTTGGAAGAGTTTGGATGAGGTTGGAGGAGGTTGGATGAGGTTGGAGGAGGCTGGATGGGCTTGGATGGGGTTGGATGAGGTTGGAAGAGGTGGGAGGAGGTTGGATGAGCCTGTATGAGCTGGGGTGAGATGGGATGAGGTTGGAGAACGTTGGATGTGCTGGAATGAGGTGAGATGGGGTTGGATGATGTTGGATGGGGTTGGATAAGGTTGGATGATGTGGAATAAGGTTGGAGGAGTCTGGATGAGGTTGGAGGAGGTTGGATGGGGTTGGATGTGCTGGGAGGAGATGGGATGGGGTTGGATGAGGATGGATGGGGTTGGATGAAGCAGGATGAGGTTGGAGGAGGCTTGAGGAGGTTGGATGGAGTTGGAGGAGGTTGGATGAGCTGGAATTAGGTGGGAAGAGGTGGGATGGAGTTGGATGAGGATGGAATGAGGTTGGATGGCTTGGTATAAGGTTGGAGAAGGTGGGATGGGGTTGGAAGAGGTTGGATGAGCTGGAATGACCTGGGATGAGGTGGGATGAGGTTGGAGGAGGTTGGAGGAGGTTGGAGGAGGTGGGATGAGGTTGGAGGAGGTTGGATGGGGTTGGCTGTGGTGGGAGGAAGTGGAATGAGGTTGGGATGAGGTTGGATGGGGTTGGGATGAGGTTGGATGAGGATGGAATGAGGTTGGATGACGTGGGATAAGGTTGGAGGAGGTGGGATGAGGTTGGAGGAGGTTGGATGAGCTGGAATGACCTGGGATGAGGTGGGAGGTAGGAACAGGTTGGATGAGGCTCAATGAGGTTGGATGGGGCTGGATGAGCTTGGAGGAGGTGGAATGAAGTTGGATGAGGTTGGAGGAGGTGGAATGAGGTTGGATGAGGTTGGCTGTGGTGGGAGGAGGTTGGATGAGGTTGGATGTGGTGGGTTTAGTTTGAATGATGAGGCTGGATGAGATTGGATGGGGTTGGATGGGGTTGGATGGGGTTGGATGAGGATGGAATGAGGTTGGATGACTTGGTATAAGGTTGGAGGAAGTGGGATGAGGTTGGAAGAGGTTGGATGAGCTGGAATGACCTGGGATGAGGTGGGATGAGGTTGGATGAGGATGGAATGAGATTGGATGACGTGGGATAAGGCTGGAGGAGTTTGGATGAGGTTGGAGGAGGTGAGATGAGCTGGAATGACCTGGGATGAGGTGGGATGAGGTTGGAGGATGTTGGATGAGGTGGGATGAGCTGGAATGAGGTTGGAGGAGGTGGGATGAGGTTGGGATGAGGTTAGATTATATGGGAAGAGGTTGGATGAGGTTGGAGGAGGTGGGATGAGCTGGAATGACCTGGGATGAGGTGGGATGAGGTTGGATGAGGCTCAATGAGGTGGAATGGGGTTGGAGGAGGTTGGAAGAGGTTGGATGATGTGGGATAAGGTTGGAGGAGTCTGGATGGGGTTGGAGGAGATTGGAGGAGGTTGGATGAGCTTGAATGAGCTTGGATGAGCTTGGATGAGGTGGAATGAGGTTGGAAGAGGTTGGCTGTGGTGGGACGAGGTTGGATGAGGTTGGCTGTGATTGGATTACTTTGAATGATGAGGCTGGATGAGGATGGATGAGATTGGATGGGGTTGGATGGGGTTGGGATGAGGTTGGATGAGGATGGAATGAGATTGGATGAGGTGGGATAAGGTTGGAGGAGTTTGGATGAGGTTGGAGGAGGTTGGATGAGCTGGAATGACCTGGGATGAGGTGGGATGAGGTGGGATGAGATTGGATGAGGTGGGATGAGGTTGGAGGAGGTTGGAGGAGTCTGGATGATGTGGGATAAGGTTGGAGGAGTCTGGATGAGGTTGGAGGAGGTTGGAGGAGGTTGGATGAGGCTGGATGAGCTTGGAGGAGGTGGAATGAGGTTGGATGAGCTTGGCTGTGGTGGGAGGAGGTTGGATGAGGTTGGATGTGGTGGGTTTAGTTTGAATGATGAGGCTGGATGAGATTGGATGGGGTTGGATGGGGTTGGATGGGGTTGGATGAGGATGGAATGAGGTTGGATGACTTGGTATAAGGTTGGAGGAAGTGGGATGAGGTTGGAAGAGGTTGGATGAGCTGGAATGACCTGGGATGAGGTGGGATGAGGTTGGATGAGGATGGAATGAGATTGGATGACGTGGGATAAGGCTGGAGGAGTTTGGATGAGGTTGGAGGAGGTGAGATGAGCTGGAATGACCTGGGATGAGGTGGGATGAGGTTGGAGGATGTTGGATGAGGTGGGATGAGCTGGAATGAGGTTGGAGGAGGTGGGATGAGGTTGGGATGAGGTTAGATTATATGGGAAGAGGTTGGATGAGGTTGGAGGAGGTGGGATGAGCTGGAATGACCTGGGATGAGGTGGGATGAGGTTGGATGAGGCTCAATGAGGTGGAATGGGGTTGGAGGAGGTTGGAAGAGGTTGGATGATGTGGGATAAGGTTGGAGGAGTCTGGATGGGGTTGGAGGAGATTGGAGGAGGTTGGATGAGCTTGAATGAGCTTGGATGAGCTTGGATGAGGTGGAATGAGGTTGGAAGAGGTTGGCTGTGGTGGGACGAGGTTGGATGAGGTTGGCTGTGATTGGATTACTTTGAATGATGAGGCTGGATGAGGATGGATGAGATTGGATGGGGTTGGATGGGGTTGGGATGAGGTTGGATGAGGATGGAATGAGATTGGATGAGGTGGGATAAGGTTGGAGGAGTTTGGATGAGGTTGGAGGAGGTTGGATGAGCTGGAATGACCTGGGATGAGGTGGGATGAGGTGGGATGAGATTGGATGAGGTGGGATGAGGTTGGAGGAGGTTGGAGGAGTCTGGATGATGTGGGATAAGGTTGGAGGAGTCTGGATGAGGTTGGAGGAGGTTGGAGGAGGTTGGATGAGGCTGGATGAGCTTGGAGGAGGTGGAATGAGGTTGGATGAGCTTGGCTGTGGTGGGAGGAGGTTGGATGAGGTTGGATGTGGTGGGTTTAGTTTGAATGATGAGGCTGGATGAGATTGGATGGGGTTGGATGAGGTTGGATGGGGTTGGATGAGGATGGAATGAGGTTGGATGACTTGGGATAAGGTTGGAGGAAGTGGGATGAGGTTGGAAGAGGTTGGATGAGCTGGAATGACCTGGGATGAGGTGGGATGAGGTTGGATGAGGATGGAATGAGATTGGATGATGTGGGATAAGGCTGGAGGAGTTTGGATGAGGTTGGAGGAGGTTGGATGAGCTGGAATGACCTGGGATGAGGTGGGATGAGGTTGGAAGAGGTTGGATGAGGTTGGAGGAGTCTGGATGAGGTTGGATGAGGTTGGATGTGGTGGGTTTAGTTTGAATGATGAGGATGGATGAGATTGGATGGGGTTGGATGGGGTTGGGATGAGGTTGGATAATGTGGGATAAGGTTGGAGGAGGTGGGATGAGGTTGGATGAGCTGGAATGACCTGGGATGAGGTTGGATGAGGTTGGAGGAGGTGGGACATGGTGGGATGAGGTTGGGATGAGGTTGGATTATATGGGATGAGGTTGGATGAGGTGGGATGAGGTTGGGATGAGGTTGGATTATCTGGGATGAGGTTGGATGAGGTTGGAGGAGGTGGGACGTGGTGGGATGAGGTCGGGATGAGGTTAGATTATATGGGATGAGGTTGGATGAGGTTGGATTCTATGGGATGAGGTTGGATGAGGTTGGATGAGGTTGGATGAGGTTGGATTATATGGGATGAGGTTGGATGAGGTTGGAGGAGGTGGGACGTGGTGGGATGAGGCTCTCCTTGTTCCCGCAGCTGGAATTCCTGCGGAAGCAGATGGACAAGGCGCTGGATTTCGAGCGGCAGCTGAACGAGCTGCAGGATGCGAGCGTGGAGATCCACGACAACCTGAAATCCCAGCTGGAGCAGGACGTGGAGGTACCGGGAAAGGCCCCGGATCACGGGATCACCACTGGGAATGCTGGAATGGTTTGGGTGGGAAGGGACCTCAGATCCCACCGCATTCCAGCCCCGACACCTCCAACATCCCGGGGTGATCCAACCTGGCCTGGGACACTGCCAGGGATCCAGGGATTCTCTGGGAATCCCAGCCCAGCCAGGAATCCCTTCCCAGGATCCCAGCATCCCAAGCTCCCCTTTCCCACTGGAAGCCATTCCCTGGCTCCTGCCCCTCCATCCTTCATCCCAAATCCCCAATCCCAGCTCTCCTTTCCCTCTGGAAAAGGCTCCAAGGATTCCCTGGATCCTCCCCTGATCCAGCTGCACATTCCCAGCTGCTCTCCCAGCCCTGCAGCATTCCCTGGCCTCGCTCCAGCAGCTCCACACCCCCAGTTCCCGATAACTGGGAAGTGTGGGATGTTCCCGGGTGTTTTGGGGTGGGAACAGCTCCGTGCTGGAGCTCAGCATTCCCAGGAATGCCGTGGGGCCGTTGGAAAGACGGGAAAACGTTGGGAAAACAACCTGGAGCTGTGGCTGGGGGGAGGCTCCGGAGATAATTTTCCCTCCTGGTGTTCCACAACTTTATCCTGGTTTTTGGAGCAGCCTTGGGAACGGGGATAATAACAGAGAAATCCCACAGGGAAAGTTTTCCACAGGATTTGAGGAATGTTTGAGGAATATTAATCCCAACAAAACTCAGAATTCCCTAAGGAAGAGGATTGGGAATTCTCCGTGCCGGCTGCAGGTGGAAAAAAAAAAACCCCAAAAACCTGGAAGCAAAAATTGGAGCTGGGATTTAGGGTGGGAATTCCAAGCTGGGAGAGCCTGGGATTGGGAAGGGCTTCCCTGATGGTTTTTTTGGGATTTGCCTTTGGATTTCTGCCTCAGGTGGGATTTTTGGGAATTAACCCCTGGATCGTGGCATTCCTCCATCCTCTGGAGAGGGAAAGAATTCCCTTGGCCCTGCTGGGATTTAATTCCAGCTTTTTTTTGTGTGTGTTTTTTCCTGGGGAATCCAAACCCTTCTGGGAATTTCCCTGGGTTTTCCCTAAACTCCGGGCTTGTCTTTGTGGGTTTGGTTTTTTTCCCATGGAATTTACATGGAATTCTTTGTGAGTTTTTTTCCCATGGAATTTCCATGGAATTCTTTGTGAATTTGTTTTTTTTCCCCTCCATGGAATTCCAGCACCTGGAGAGGAAACTGGGTCAGATGAAGGGGTTGCTTTTGTGGGTTTGTCTTTGTGATTTTTTTTCTCCATGGAATTTCCATGGAATTCTTTGTGGGCTTTTTCTCATGGAATTTCCATGGAATTCTCTGTGATTTTTTTTTCTCGTGGAATTTCCATGGAATTCTCTGTGATTTTTTTTGTTTTCCTTCCCTCCCTCCCCGGAATTCCAGCACCTGGAGAGGAAACTCCAGGTTGCTTTTGTGGGTTTGTCTTTGTGATGTTTTTTCCCATGGAATTTCCATGGAATTCTTTGTGTGTTTTTTTCCCCATGGAAATCCATGGAATTTCCATGGAATTCTTTGTGAATTTTTTTTTTTCCCCCTCCACAGAATTCCAGTACCTGCAGAGGAAACTCCAGGTTGCTTTTGTGGGTTTGTCTTTTGTGGGTTTGTCTTTGTGATGTTTTTCCTCATGGAATTTCCATGGAATTCTTTGTGGGTTTTTTTCCCCACGGAATTTCCATGGAATTTCCATGGAATTCTTTGTGATTTTTTTGGTTTTTTCCGCCTCCATGGAATTCCAGCACCTGGAGAGGAAACTGGGTCAGATGAAGGGGTTGCTTTTGTGGGTTTGTCTTTGTGGAGTTTTTCCCCATGGAATTTCCATGGAATTCTTTGTGGGTTTTTCCCATAGAATTTCCATGGAATTCTTTGTGATTTTTTTGGTTTTTTCCGCCTCCATGGAATTCCAGCACCTGGAGAGGAAACTCCATAAGATGAAGGGGTTGCTTTTGTGGGTTTGTCTTTGTGGGTTTTTTCCCATGGAATTTCCATGGAATTCTTTGTGGGTTTTTTTCCCATGGAATTTCCATGGAATTCTTTGTGAATTTATTTTTTATTTCCCTCCATGGAATTCCAGTACCTGGAGAGGAAACTGGGTCAGATGAAGGGGTTGCTTTTGTGGGTTTGTCTTTGTGGGTTTTTCCTCATGGAATTTCCATGGAATTCTTTGTGGGTTTTTTTTCCCCATGGAAATCCATGGAACTTCCATGGAATTCTTTGTGAATTAATTTTTATTCCCATGGAATTCCAGCACCTGGAGAGGAAACTGGGTCAGATGAAGGGGTTGCTTTTGCGGGTTTGTCTTTGTGGGTTTTTTCCCATGGAATTTCCATGGAATTCTTTGTGATTTTGTGATTTTTTTTTTCTCATGGAATTTCCATGGAATTCTCTGTGATTTTTTTTTGTTTTTCTTCCCTCCCTCCCTGTAATTCCAGCACCTGGAGAGGAAACTGGGTCAGATGAAGGGGTTGCTTTTGTGGGTTTGTCTTTGTGGGTTTTTTTCCCATGGAATTCTTAGTGGAGTTTTTCCTCATGGAATTTCCATGGAATTCTTTGTGAATTTATTTTCCCTCCCTGTAATTCCAGCACCTGGAGAGGAAGCTCCGTCAGATGAAGGGCGTTTACCACCTGAACCAGGTGAAGCTGGAATACAACCTGGACGTGCTCCGGCAGCTGGACGTGGAAAATTCCACGCTCCGGTCCCTGCAGAAGAGGAAAATCAGCCGGTAAAGCCCATCCCGGGGGCAAATCCCATCCCAAAACTTTTCCCAAAGCCCCAACCCCGGGCCCTCCGTCCGTCCCCAGGCTCAGGAGCACCCTGGAGCTGCTGAAGGACAGAATGGCCAAGCAGGAGGCGAAATTCCAGGAGGAAAAGCAGGGCCTGGAGTCGGAGCTGGAGCGCGTGGCCGGGCACTTCCAGGAGACGCGGGAGCGGATGAGGTGGGAGCGCCCGGAATTCCGACCCCGTGGGGAGCCTTTCCCTTGGGGAAAATGTGGATTTTATGGTCGGCTTTTCAGGAATTTAAATTATGAAATAATTATAATATTATATATTTATACAATAATTTTTATTTATTTATTTATATGTTTCACATAACACGTATAACATTAATTTCAATATCTCATATGATGAGATATTGAAATTAATGTTATATGGGTTATGTTAGAAAGTTGTGCTGTATTAATTTTTTGAGTCATGTGTTAAGTAGATATATATAAATATATAATATTATAATAAATATATAATATATAATAAATATATATTATATATCACATATATATAATATTGTGATTATATATTATAAATATATATTTATAATTATATATATTTATATATATAATTTTATATATATAATTTTGATATATATAATATTGATATAGATATAATTATATATATTATAATTATATTATATCAATTATATATATAAAAATTATAATTATATGAATAAATTATATATAAATATAGAAATATAAATATATATAATATATAATATATATACATCTATATTATATAAAATATAATCATATCTATAAATTCTATATATAAATTCTATATAAAAATTATATTATATTATATTATATTATATTATATTATATTATATTATAATATATTATATTATATTATATTATATTATATTATATTATATTATATTATATTATATTATATTATATTATATTTAGTAAATATATATAATTGTATCTATATTTATTAATATATATAGTTATATATAAATATATATAATTATATAATTATATAATATATAATATATAATATATAATATATAATATATGATTCTATCATACATATTATTTAATATATAACATATATTATTATGTAATTCTTAATTATATACTTATTATTATATAATATAATAATATACAATTATTACTAAATTTTTATATTATTCTATTATTATATATTATATATAATTATTCTATTATTATATAATTATATTATTAATTATATAATAAATATAATATTATATATTATATTATAAATCATATATATATATTATATATTACAATAAATATACATATAAATATATAATGTTAAAATAGAAACTTTATATGTGAGAAATGTTCTTTAAGAAAGGAATGAGGTAATCTCACTGAGATAGCAGCCAGAGGACACCGAAATCTTTCAGAGAAAAAGAATTTATTTCTCTTTCCAAGAAAAATAAATGATATAATTATTATATAAATTATAATATAAATTATATGATTATATAATTATAGTAGAAATTATATAAGTATTATATAAATCATCATATAAATCATCATATAATTTATATCATTATATAAGTATTATATATAGTTATATAATTATTATTTAAATTATTATAGAATTTTTATATATAATGTAATCTATATATATATATATATATATATATTATATTATATCAGAATCCTGTGTTTAAATTGAATTTATGCATCATTTATGAGGTCTATGAATATTCAACAGGCTGTTGTTTTTAAAGGGTTCATCCTCTGTTAACCTGGGGCCTTTTTTGGGCTTTTTTTGCCCAGAAAAAGGGACCCGGCCCATTTGTAACTCTTTGTTTTTATTGTCCTAAATCCAAATTGTCCAGACTTTAATTTTATTATTTATTATTACAATTTTATTAGTTTTATTATCCTAAATCCAAATTTTCCAGACTTTTATTACTCTAATTTTATTTTTACAATTTTATTACAATTTGATTACCCTAAATCCTAATTGTCCACATTTTTATTACTCTAATTTTATTATTTATTTTTGCAATCATATTACAATTTTATTATCCTAAATCTGAACTGTCCAATTTTTTATTACTCTAATTTTATTCTTTATTTTTACAATTGTATTACAATTTTATTACCCTAAATCTGACCTGTCGAAAATTTTATTACTCTAATTATATTTTTTATTTTTTCAATTTTATTAAATTTGATTATCCTAAATCTGAACTGTCCAAATTTTTATTACTCTAATTTTATTATTTATTTTTAAAATTTTATCACAATTTTATTATCCTAAATCCTAATTGTCCACATTTTTTACTCTAATTTTATTATTTATTTTTACAATTATATTACAATTTTATTATCCTAAATCTGAACTGTCCAAAATTTTATTTCTCTAATTATATTTTTTATTTTTTCAATTTTATTACAATTTTATTACCCTAAGTCTGAACTGTCCAAATTTTTATTATGCTAATTTTATTATTTATTTTTACAATTGTATTACAATTTGATTACCCTAAATCCTAATTGTCCACATTTTTATTACTCTAATTTTATTCTTTATTTTTACAATTGTATTACAATTTTATTACCCTAAATCTGACCTGTCGAAAATTTTATTACTCTAATTATATTTTTTATTTTTTAGAATTGTATTACAATTTTATTATCCTAAATCTGAACTGTCAAAATTTTTATTACTCTAATTTTATTTTTTATTTTTACAATTTTATTACAATTTTATTATCCTAAATCTGAACTGTCCAAATTTTTATTACTCTAATTATATTATTTATTTTTTACAATTTTATCACAATTTTATTATCCTAAATCCTAATTGTCCACATTTTTTACTCTAATTTTATTATTTATTTTTACAATTATATTACAATTTTATTATCCTAAATCTGAACTGTCCAAATTTTTATTACTCTAATTATATTTTTTATTTTTTCAATTTTATTACAATTTTATTACCCTAAGTCTGAACTGTCCAAATTTTTATTACTCTAATTTTATTATTTATTTTTTACAATTTTATCACAATTTTATTATCCTAAATCCTAATTGTCCACATTTTTTACTCTAATTTTATTATTTATTTTTACAATTATATTACAATTTTATTATCCTAAATCTGAACTGTCCAAAATTTTATTTCTCTAATTTTATTTTTTATTTTTTCAATTTTATTACAATTTTATTACCCTAAGTCTGAACTGTCCAAATTTTTATTATGTTAATTTTATTATTTATTTTTGCAATTTTATTACAAATTTATTACCCTAAATCCCAATGGTCCAAATTTTTATTATGTTAATTTTATTATTTATTTTTGCAATTTTATTACAAATTTATGACCCTAAATCCCAATGGTCTGGATTTTTATGACTCCGATTTTATTCTTTTTTTAACTACAATTTTACCACAATTTTACTACCCTAAATCCCAATGATCCAAATATTTATTACTCTAATTTTATTATTTATTTTTACAATTTTATTACAAATTTATTACCCTAAATCCCAATGGTCTGGATTTTTATGACTCCGATTTTATTCTTTATTTTACTCCAATTTTACTCCAGTTTTACTACCCTAAATCCCAATGGTCCACATTTTTATGACTCTAATTATATTACAATTTTATTTCTATTAAACTTTTAAAATTTTTAAAAAAAGAACAATTGGGATTATTTCCATTTTTCGAGGCAGCTGTCGCGCAGCAGCGCCGAGCGGTTCCGGCGGGTTTGGATCGTGAACGAGGAATTTTATTACAATTTTATTACCCTAAATTCTCATTGTCCAAATATTTATTACTCTAATTTTATTATTTATTTTTATAATTTTATTTCAATTTTATTACCTTAAATCCCAATGGTCCAGATTTTTATTACTCCAATTTTATTCTTTATTTTTACAATTTTATTACAATTTTAATACCCTAAATCCCAATTGTCCACATTTTTATGACTCTAATTATATTACAATTTTATTACTATTAAACTTTTAAAATTTTTACAAAAAGGAACAATTGGAATTATTTCCATTTTTCCAGGCAGCTGAGGCGCAGCAGCGCCGAGCGGTTCCGGCGGGTTTTGATCGTAAATGAGGAATTTTATTACCCTAAATCCTAATTGTCCACATTTTTTTACTCTAATTATATGACAATTTTATTACTATTAAAGTTTTAAAATTTAAAAGAAAAGAACAATTGGGATTATTTCCAGGCAGCTGAGGCGCAGCAGCGCCGAGCGATTCCGGCAGGTCTGGATCGTGAACGAGGAATTTTATTTACAATTTGATTACCCTAAATCCTAATTCTCCACATTTTTATGACTCTAATTATATTACTATTAAACTTTTCGAATTTTACAATAAGAACAATTGGGATTATTGGCATTTTCCCAGGCAGCTGTCGCGCAGCAGCGCCGAGCGGTTCCGGCGGGTTTGGATCGTGAACGAGGAATTTTATTACCCTAAATCCCAATTGTCCACATTTTTATAACTCTAATTATATTACAATTTTATTTCTATTAAACTTTTAAAATTTTAAAAAAAAGAACAATTGGGATTATTGGCATTTTTCCAGGCAGCTGTCACGCAGCAGCGCCGAGCGGTTCCGGCAGGTCTGGATCGTGAACGAGGAATTTTATTACAATTTTATTACCCTAAATCCTAATTATCCACATTTTATTACTCTAATTATATTACTATTATTACAATTTTATTACTATTAAACTTTTAAAATTTTAAGAAAAGAACGTTAGGAATTATTGGCATTTTTCCAGGCAGCTGAGGCGCAGCAGCGCCGAGCGGTTCCGTCAGGTTTGGATCATGAACGAGGAATTTTATTACAATTTTATTACCCTAAATCCTAATTGTCCACATTTTTTTACTCTAATAATATTACAATTTTATTACTATTAAAGTTTTAAAATTTAAAAGAAAAGAACAATTGGGATTATTTCCAGGCAGCTGAGGCGCCGCAGCGCCGAGTGATTCCGGCGGGTTTGGACCGTGAACAAGGAATTTTATTACAATTTTATTACCCTAAATCCCAATGGTCTGGATTTTTATGACTAATTATATTACAATTTTATTACTATTAAACTTTTAAAATTTTTAAGAAAAGAACGATAGGAATTATTGGCATTTTTCCAGGCAGCTGTTGCGCAGCAGCGCCGAGCGGTTGCGGCAGGTCTGGATCGTGAACGAGGAATTTTATTACAATTTTATTACAGTTTTATTACCCTAAATCCCAATTGTCCAAATTTTTATTACTCTAATTTTATTACTATTAAAGTTTTAAATATTTAAAAAAAGAACAATTGGGATTATTTCCATTTTTCCAGGCAGCTGAGGCGCAGCAGCGCCGAGCGGTTCCGGCAGGTCTGGATCGTGAACGAGGAATGAATTTTATTACAGTTTTATTACTCTAAATCCCAATGGTCTGGATTTTTATGACTCTAATTATATTACAATTTTATTACTATTAAACTTTTAATATTTTAAGAAAAAAACTATTGGAATTATTTCCATTTTTCCAGGCAGCTGTCGCGCAGCAGCGCCAAGCGGTTCCGGCAGGTCTGGATCGTGAACGAGGAATTTTATTACAATTTTATTACCCTAAATCCTAATTCTCCACATTTTTATTACTCTAATTATATTACAATTTTATTACTATTAAACTTTTAGAATTTTACAAAAAGGAACAATTGGAATTATTGGCATTTTTCCAGGCAGCTGTCGCGCAGCAGCGCCGAGCGGTTCCGGCGGGTTTGGATCGTGAACGAGGAATTTTATTACAATTTTATTACCCTAAATCCTCATTGTCCACATTTTTATGACTCTAATTATATTACAATTTTATTACTATTAAACTTTTAAAATTTTACAATAAGAACAATTGGGATTATTGGCATTTTTCCAGGCAGCTGAGGCGCAGCAGCGCCGAGCGGTTCTGGCGGGTTTGGATCGTGAACGAGGAATTTTATTACAATTTTATTACCCTAAATCCTAATTCTCCACATTTTTATGACTCTAATTATATTACAATTTTATTACTATTAAACTTTTAGAATTTTAGAAAAAGGAACTATGGGAATATTTCCATTTTTCCAGGCAGCTGAGGTGCAGCAGCGCCGAGCAGTTCCGGCAGGTCTGGATTGTGAACGAGGAATTTTATTACAATTTTATTACCCTAAATCCCAATTGTCCACATTTTTATGACTCTAATTATATTACTATTATTACAATTTTATTATTACTATTAAACTTGTAAAATTTTAAAAAAAGAACAATTGGAATTATTGGCATTTTTCCAGGCAGCTGTCGCGCAGCAGCGCCGAGCGGTTCCGGCGGGTTTGGATTGTGAACGAGGAATTTTATTACAATTTGATTACCCTAAATCCCAATTGTCCACATTTTTATGACTCTAATTATATTACTATTATTACAATTTTATTACTATTAAACTTTTAAAATTTTTAAAAAAAGAACAATTGGGATTATTTCCATTTTTCCAGGCAGCTGTCGCGCAGCAGCGCCGAGCGGTTCCAGCAGGTCTGGATCATGAACGAGGAATTTTATTACAATTTTATTACCCTAAATCCTAATTCTCCACATTTTTATTACTCTAATTATATTACTATGAAACTTTTCGAATTTTACAATAAGAACAATTGGGATTATTGGCATTTTCCCAGGCAGCTGTCGCGCAGCAGCGCCGAGCGGTTCCGGCGGGTTTGGATCGTGAACGAGGAATTTTATTACAATTTTATTACCCTAAATCCTCATTGTCCACATTTTTATTACTCTAATTATATTACTATTAAAATTTTAGAATTTTACAAAAAGGAACTATGGGATTATTGGCATTTTTCCAGGCAGCTGTCGCGCAGCAGCGCCGAGCGGTTCCAGCAGGTTTGGATCGTGAATGAGGAATTTTATTACGATTTTATTACCCTAAATCCTAATTGTCCTCATTTTTTTAACTCCAATTATATTACTTTTTTTACTATTAAACTTTTAGAATTTTACAAAAAGGAATGATTGGAATTATTGGCATTTTTCCAGGCAGCTGGCGCGCAGCAGCGCCGAGCGGTTCCGGCAGGTCTGGATCGTGAACGAGGAAGAGGCCAAGGCGTTGATCCGGGAGGTTCTGGATGCCGATCGGATCATCCACGTCCAGCAGCTGGGAATGCCGTGGGAAGAGCCCCAGTTGTGGTTCATGGACAACGTGGGACCCCTGGGAGGCAGCCAGGAGAAGAGGGACGCCATGGAGCTGGCCACGAAGCTTCTGGAAGGTGGGAATCCCTAAATTCCTTGGGAATTCGCCCTCCTTGGAAAGGCGCCTGTGTTCCGCCAATCCTCGGGATTTCCGGCTGGGATTTTCCAGGAGTCGCCAGCGCTGAGTTGGCTCATCCCAAGGGATATTCCCACTGGATTTTTCCCAGTTTTTCCAAGAAGCAGCTGTGATCCCAGGAGCTTTGTTCTCCAGGGATTCCCACGGTTTGGGATCTTGCTCCAGTTGGGATTTTCCAGGAGTCGCCATCCCTGCGTTGGGTCATCCCAAGGGATATTCCCGCTATGATTTTTCAGAGTTTTCCCAAGAAGCAGCTGTGATCCCAGGAGCTTTGTTTTCCAGGGATTCCCATGGTTTGGGATCTTGCTCCAGTTGGGATCTTCCAGGAGTCACCATCCCTGAGTTGGCTCATTCCAAGGAATATTCCCGCTGTGTTTTTCCCAATTTTCCCAATTCCAAGAATCAGCTGTGATCCCAGGAGCTTTGTTCTCCAGGGATTCCCATGGTTTGGGATCTTGCTCCAGTTGGGATCTTCCAGGATTCGCCATCCCTGAGTTGGCTCATCCCAAGGGACATTCCCACTATGATTTTTCCCAGTTTTCCCAGGAAGCAGCTGTGATCCCAGGAGCGTTGTTCTCCAGGGATTCCCAAGGTTTGGGATCTTGCTGCAGTTGGGATTTTCCAGGAATTACCATCCCTGAGTTGGCTCGTCCCAAGGGATATTCCCGCTATGATTTTTCCCAATTCCAAGAATCAGCTCTCATCCCTGGAGCTTTGTTTTCCAGGGATTCCCATGGTTTGGGATCTTGCTCCAGTTGGGATCTTCCAGGAATTGCCATCCCTGAGTTGGCTCATCCCAAGGGACATTCCTGCTGTGTTTTTCCCAATTTTCCCAGTTCCAAAAAGCAGCTGTGATCCCAGGAGCGTTGTTTTCCAGGGATTCCCACTGTTTAGGATGTTGCTCCAGGTGAGATTTTCCAGGAGTCGCCTGCCCTGAGTTGGCTCATCCCAAGGGATATTCCCGCTATGATTTTTCCCCGTTTTCCCAAGGAGCAGCTGTGATCCCAGGAGCCTTTCTCCAGGGATTCCCACGGTTTAGGATCTTGCTCCAGTTGGGATTTTCCAGGAGTCACCATCCCTGAGTTGGCTCATTCCAAGGAATATTCCTGCTGTGTTTTTCCCAATTTTCCCAATTCCAAGAATCAGCTCTCATCCCGGGAGCTTTGTTCTCCAGGGATTCCCACAGTTTAGGATCTTGCTCCAGTTGGGATTTTCCAGGAATTGCCATCCCTGAGTTGGCTCATTCCAAGGAATATTCCCGCTGTGTTTTTCCCAATTTTCCCAATTCCAAGGAAGCAGCTGTGATCCCAGGAGCTTTGTTTTCCAGGGATTCCCATAGTTTGGGATCTTGCTCCAGTTGGGATCTTCCAGGAGTCGCCATCCCTGCGTTGGCTCATTCCAAGGGGTATTCCCGCTGTGTTTTTCCCAATTTTCCCAATTCCAACAATCAACTCTCCTCCCAGGAGCTTTGTTTTCCAAGAATTCCCATAGTTTGGGATCTTGCTCCAGTTGGGATTTTCCATGAGTCGCCATCCCTGAGTTGCCTCATCCCAAGGGATATTCCCGCTATGATTTTTCCCAGTTTTCCCAAGAAGCAGCTGTGATCCCAGGAGCTTTGTTCTCCAACAATTCCCACGGTTTAGGATCTTGCTCCAATTGGGATTTTCCAGGAGTCGCCATCCCTGCCTTGGCTCATCCCAAGGGATATTCCCGCTGTGTTTTTCCCAATTTTCTCCATTCCAAGAATCAGCTCTCATCCCAGGAGCTTTGTTTTCCAGGGATTCCCATGGTTTGGGATCTTGCTGCAGTTGGGATTTTCCAGGAATTACCATCCCTGAGTTGGCTCATCCCAAGGGATATTCCCGCTATGATTTTTCCCAATTCCAAGAATCAGCTCTCATCCCTGGAGCTTTGTTTTCCAACAATTCCCATGGTTTGGGATCTTGCTCCAGTTGGGATCTTCCAGGAATTGCCATCCCTGAGTTGCCTCATCCCAAGGGATATTCCTGCTATGATTTTTCCCAATTCCAAGAAGCAGCTGTGATCCCAGGAGCTTTGTTTTCCAGGGATTCCCATGGTTTGGGATCTTGCTCCAGTTGGGATTTTCCAGGAATCGCCATCCCTGCGTTGGCTCATCCCAAGGAATATTCCCGCTGGGTTTTTTCCCAGTTCCAAGAATCAACTCTCCTCCCAGGAGCTTTGTTTTCCAGGGATTCCCAAGGTTTGGGATCTTGCTCCAGTTGGGATTTTCCAGGAGCTGCCATCCCTGAGTTGGCTCATCCCAAGGGATATTCCTGCTACGATTTTCCCAGTTTTCCCAAGAAGCAGCTGTGATCCCAGGAGCTTTGTTCTCCAGGGATTCCCATGGTTTGGGATCTTGCTCCAGTTGGGATTTTCCAGGAGTCGCCATCCCTGAGTTGGCTCATCCCAAGGGATATTCCCGCTATGATTTTTCCCAGTTTTCCCAAGGAGCAGCTGTGATCCCAGGAGCTTTGTTTTCCAGGGATTCCCACCTTGGGAATGGTTTGTTTTTGGGACCTTGCTCCCACTTCCCTCTCTGACTTTCAGGGATCAACCCTGGAAAAGCGGATCAGGAAGGGAGGAGGAGCAGGAAGAAGGGAGCCCGGAGCGCCGAGGGCGGGAAGGAAAACCAGGAAAGGATGGAGGACAGAATCACATCCCGGCCGGGCATTCCCAGGAAAACCCTCCGGAGAATCCTGGAGGTCATGAGCGAGGAGTCGGTGAGCGGTGCCGGAGCTCGGGATCCGGGATCAGCCCCAGATCCGGGGGGTTTTTTGGGGGTTTTTTTGGGGTTTTTTTGGGGGTTTTTTTTGGGGTTTTTTGGGGTTTTTTTGGGTTTTTTGCATTTTTTTGGTGGATCCCTTTGGAATGAGGGCTGGGAATTCTCACCCTGCCACCTCTTCCCGGGCTTTTTCCCAAGGCATTCCTGCTGGAGAACAAACTCCTGAAGCCGCTGCGGGAGGTGGTGGGACCCAGGAACGACGTCCAGCAGCTCCAGACCATCTTCCAGGTGGGTGGGGATGGGATCTCCCGGGATTGGGGTTGGAATGCCGAGCACCGGGGAGGAGCTGGAGCTGGGAATGCTCACCTGGATCAGGGAAGGATCCAGGGAATCACTTGAGGGGCTCCGGGAGAGCTGGGATTGGGGCAAGGGCTGGAGGGAGCCAGGGAATGGCTTCCAGTGGGAAAGGGGAGCTTGGGATGCTGGGATCCTGGGAAGGGATTCCTGGCTGGGCTGGGATTCCCAGAGAATCCCTGGGAGCGTCCAAGAGTGGATTTGGATCACCCTGGGATGGTGGGAAGTGTCCCTGGGATGGGATTGAAGGTCCATGGATCCCATCCCAAACCATTCCGGGATTCTGGGATCAAGGACACTCAGGATCCATCCCGAGGGATTTTTATGGAATTCAGGGATGGAAAAGGGAAGGGGAGACCCTTCCTGGAGTCCCCAATTCCCAGGGAAGCCCCTGGATCCCAAAATTCCTTCTCAAGGAGGAATCGGGATGGGGCTGGATCCAACGCCAGGCTGGGAGAGCAGCTGGGAATGTGCAGCTGGATCAGGGGAGGATCCAGGGAATCCTTGGAGCCGCTTCCCCATCCCAAAGGGGCTCCAGGAGAGCTGGGATTGGGGCAAGGGCTGGAGGGAGCCAGGGAATGGCTTCCAGTGGGAAAGGGGAGCTTGGGATGCTGGGATCCTGGGAAGGGATTCCTGGCTGGGCTGGGATTCCCAGAGAATCCCTGGATCCCTGGCAGTGTCCAAGGAAAGGTTGGGATCATGGGAGGTGTCCCCGCCCATGGATTGGGATGAGCTGTGAGGTCCCTTCCCACCCAGAACATTCCATGATTCCCGGATTCCCGCCTCCAGCCCATCCCAGCGATTTCAACACCCTCCAGGGCTCCCCCAGCCTCTTCCCAGACTTTCCCACCCGCGGATATTCCGAATGTGCCTGTCCCTCATCCACCCCTTCCCGCCATTCCTCCTTCCTTATCCCCCAGCACTTCCCAGAATTCCCGCCTTTCCCCTGCTCCGGGAAAATTCCCTTCCCCACGTCCCCCCTCGCCCATCACCCCACGGAACCCCGATGGAATTCCCGCTTTTCCCAGGCCCTCCGGATCGAGGACGAGGACGAGCTGCGCGCCCTCGTGGATTTTTTCCTGGACTACGAATCCCACCACGCGCCCAAGATCCCGGTAGGAGATCCCCAGCCGGCAGATCCCCCCGGGAAGGGCATCCCGGGAATTCCAGGAAGGAAGAGACGGGCGCGTTCATCCCGGAAAACGCCACATCCGGCTTTTCCTCCCTCCAGGTCAGCCAGGCAGGAGATCCCGCGGATCCGGCCGGGAAGAGCGGATCCCGTTCCCAGGGCGGATCCCCCGGGAGCGCCCCTCGCCTCCCGCCCGTCCAAGCGGATCACGTGCTGACGATCCTGAGGGAATTCCTGCAGGAATTTGCCAAGCTGAGGTGGGAATGGCGACGGGCATGGAGCCAAAGTGGGGATCCCAGGGAAATGTCCTGGGAGTTCCTGGGTGGTTCTGCTTGGAGGAAGAGATTCCCAACATTCCCTACCAGGGAGCAGGAGATTCCCAAGGCTGGGAATAAACCAGGCAGGAGATGATCCAGGAGCTGGGGAGGGAGGTAAAGATGGGGTTTGTTCTCCTTCCAAAGGGTTTGTTTTCCATCCCAAGGATTTGTTCTCAATCCCAAGGATTTGCTCTCCATCCCAAAGAGTTGTTCTCCTTCCCAAGGATTTGCTCTCCATCCCGAAGATTTGCTCTCTATCCCAAAAATTGGTTCTCCATCCCGAAGATTTGCTCTCTATCCCAAAAATTGGTTCTCCATCCCGAAGATTTGCTCTCCATCCCAAAAATTGGTTCTCCATCCCGAAGATTTGATCTCCATCCCAAAGATTTGATCTCTGTCCCAAAAATTGGTTCTCCATTCCCAAGATTTGCTCTCCATCCCAAAGATTTGTTCTCTATCCCAAAGATTTGTTCTCCATTGTCCATTCCAAGAGTTTTCTCTATCCTGAAAGTTTGTTCTCCACCCCAGGAATTTGTTGTCCATTCCCAGAGTTTCTTCTCCTTCCCAAGGATTTGTTTTCCATCCCAAGGATTTGTTCTCAATCCCAAGGATTTGTTCTCCATCCCAAAGTTTTGTTCTCCTTCCCAAGGATTTGTTTCCCAATTTTGAATTCCCAATTGCCAAGGATTTGTTCTCTATCCCAAAGATTTTTTCTCCATCCCAAAAATTTGCCCTCTATCCCAAGGATTTGCTCTCCATCCCAAGGATGTGTTCTCTATTCCCAAGTTTGTTTTTTTCTCTATTCCCAAGGATTTTTCTCTATCCCAAGGCTTTGTTCTCCATCCAAAGGATTTGTTTCCCAATTTTGAATTCTCAATTGCCATGGATTTGTTGTTTATCCCAAGCATTTGCTCTCCATCCCAAGGATTTGTTCTCTATTCCCCAGGATTTGTTCTCCATTCCAAATATTTGCTCTCCATCCCAAAGTCTTGTTCTCCTTCCCAAGGACTTGTTTCCAAATTTTGAATTCCCAATTCCCAAGGATTTGCCCTCCATCCCAAGGATTTGTTCTCTATTCCCAAGTTGTTTTTTTCTCTATTCCCAAGGTTTTTTCTCTATCCCAAGGCTTTGTTCTCCATCCAAAGGATTTGTTTCCCAATTTTGAATTCTCAATTACCATGGATTTGTTCTTTATCCCAAGGATTTGCTCTCCATCCCAACGATTTGTTCTCTATTCCCAAGTTTGTTTTTTTTTTTCTCTATCCCAAGGTTTTTTTCTCCTTCCCAAGGATTTGTTTTCCATCCCAAGGATTTGTTCTCAATCTCAAGGATTTGCTCTCCATCCCAAAGTTTTGTTCTCCTTCCCAAGGATTTGTTTCCCAGTTTTGAATTCTCAATTGCCGAGGATTTGTTCTTTATCCCAAGGATTTGCCCTCCATCCCAAGGATTTGTTCTCTATTCCCAAGGATTTGTTCTCCATTCCAAATATTTGCTCTCCATCCCAAAGTCTTGTTCTCCTTCCAAAGGACTTGTTTCCAAATTTTGAATTCCCGATTGCCAAGGATTTGTTCTCTATCCCAAAGATTTGTCCACTATTCCCAAAGATTTGTTCTCTATTCCCAAGGATTTGCTCTCCATCCCAAGGATTCATTCTCCATTCCGAAGATTTGCTCTCCATCCCAAGGTTTTTTTCTCCATCCCTAAGATTTGTTCTCCATTGTCCATTCCAAGAGTTTTCTGTATCCTGAAAGTTTGTTCTCCATCCCAGGAATTTGTTGTCCATTCCCAGAGTTTCTTCTCCTTCCCAAGGATTTTTCTCCATCCCAAGGATTTGTTCTCAATCCCAAATATTTGCTCTCCATCCCAAAGTTTTGTTCTCCTTCCCAAGGATTTGTTTCCCAATTTTGAATTCCCAACTGCCAAGGATTTGCTCTCCTTCCCAAGGTTTTGTTCTCCATCCCAAAGATTTGTTCTCCACCCCAGGAATTTGTTGTCCATTCCCAGAGTTTCTTCTCCTTCCCAAGGATTTGTTCTCCATTCCAAGGATTTGTTTCCCAGTTTTGAATTCCCAATTGCCAAGGATTTGTTCTCCATCCCAAGGACTTGTTCTATTTTCCCAAGGATTTGCTCTCCATTCCAAGGATTTGCTCTCCTTCCCAAGGTTTTGTTCTCCATCCCAAAGATTTGTTCTCCACCCCAGGAATTTGTTGTCCATTCCCAGAGTTTCTTCTCCTTCCCAAAGATTTGTTCTCCATCCCTAAGATTTGTTCCCAATCCCAAGTTTTCTTCCTCTATTCCCAAATATTTGCTCTCCATCCCAAAGATTTGTTCTCCTTCCCAAGGATTTGTTCTTTATTCCAAGGATTTGTTCTCCATCCCAAAAATTTGTTCTCTATCCCAAGGATTTGTTCTCCATCCCAAAGATTTGTTCTCCATCCCAAGAATTTGTTCTCCATCCCAAGGATTTGTCCACTATTCCCAAAGATTTGTTCTCCATCCCAAGGATTTTCTCCCCATCCCAAGGTTTCTATTTCCATCCCAGGGGTTTCCTCCCCATCCCAAGGTTTTCTCCTCCATCCCAAGGATTTGCTCTCCATCCCAAAGATTTGTTCTCTATTCCCAAGTTGGTTTTTTTCTCTATTCCCAAGGTTTTTTCTCTATCCCAAGGCTTTGTTCTCCATCCAAACGATTTGTTTCCCAATTTTGAATTCTCAATTGCCATGGATTTGTTCTTTATCCCAAGGATTTGCCCTCCTTCCCAAGGATTTGTTCTCCTTCCCAAAGATTTGCCCTCCATCCCAAGGATTTGCTCTCCATCCCAAGGATTTGTTCTCTATTCCCAAGTTTGTTTTTTTTCTCTATCCCAAGGTTTTGTTCTCCATCCCAAAGATTTGTTCTCCATTGTCCATTCCAAGAGTTTTCTCTAGCCTGAAAGTTTGTTCTCCATCCCAGGAATTTGTTTTTCATTCAAAGATTTTCCTCTCAATCCCAAATATTTGCTTTCCATCCCAAGATTTTCTTCTCTTTCCCAAGGCCTTGTTCTCCATCCCAATGTTTTTTTCTCTATCCCAATTATTTGTTCTCCATCCCAAAGATTTGTTCTCCACCCCAGGAATTTGTTGTCCATTCCCAGAGTTTCTTCTCCTTCCCAAGGATTTGCTCTCCATCCCAAAGATTTGTTCTCTATTCCCAAGTTTTTTTTCTCTATTCCCAAGGATTTTTCTCTATCCCAAGGCTTTGTTCTCCATCCAAAGGATTTGTTTCCCAATTTTGAATTCTCAATTGCCATGGATTTGTTCTTTATCCCAAGGATTTGCTCTCCATCCCAAGGATTTGTTCTCTATTCCCCAGGATTTGTTCTCCATTCCAAATATTTGCTCTCCATCCCAAAGTCTTGTTCTCCTTCCCAAGGACTTGTTTCCAAATTTTGAATTCCCAATTCCCAAGGATTTGCCCTCCATCCCAAGGATTTGTTCTCTATTCCCAAGTTGTTTTTTTTCTCTATTCCCAAGGTTTTTTCTCTATCCCAAGGCTTTGTTCTCCATCCAAAGGATTTGTTTCCCAATTTTGAATTCTCAATTGCCGAGGATTTGTTCTTTATCCCAAGGATTTGCCCTCCATCCCAAGGATTTGTTCTCCATCCCAAGGATTTGTTCTCCACCCCAGGAATTTGTTGTCCATTCCCAGAGTTTCTTCTCTATCCCAAAGATTTGTTCTCCATCCCAAAAATTTAGCCTCTATCCCAAGGATTTGCTCTCCATCCCAAGGATTTGTTCTCTATTCCCAAGGATTTGTTCTCTATCCCAAAGATTTGTTCTCTATCCCAGGAATTTGTTGTCCATTCCAAGGATTTGCTCTCCATCCCAAGGTTTTTTCCTCCATCCCTAAGATTTGTTCTCCATCCCAAGAATTTGTTTCCCAATTTTGAATTCCCAATTGCCAAGGATTTGTTGTCCATCCCAAGGACTTGTTCTATTTTCCCAAGGATTTGCTCTCCTTCCCAATTATTTGTTCTCCATCCCAACGATTTGTTCTCCACCCCAGGAATTTGTTGTCCATTCCCAGAGTTTCTTCTCCTTCCCAAAGATTTGTTCTCCTTCCCAAGGATTTGTTCTTTATTCCAAGGATTTGTTCTCCATCCCAAAAATTTGTTCTCTATCCCAAGGATTTGTTCTCTAGTCCCAAAAACTTGCTCTCCATCCCAAGGATTTGTTCTCCATCCCAAGAATTTGTTCTCCATCCCAAGGATTTGTTCTCCATCCCAAGGATTTGTCCACTATTCCCAAAGATTTTTTCTCCATCCCAGGGGTTTCCTCCCCATCCCAAGGTTTTCTCCTCCATCCCAAGGTTTTGTTCTCCATCCCAAGGATTTTTTTCTCAATTTTGAATTCCCAGTTGCCAAGGATTTGTTCTCCATCCCAAGGATTTGCTCTCCATCCCAAGGATTTTTTCTCCTTCCCAAGATTTTTTTTTTGTCTATCCCAAGGTTTTCTCCTCCATCCCTAAGATTTGTTCTCCATCCCAAGGATTTCCTCCCCATCCCAAGGATTTCTTCTCCACCCCAAGGATTTTCTCCCCATCCCAAGGTTTCTATCTCCATCCCAGGGGTTTCCTCCCCATCCCAAGGTTTTCTCCTCCATCCCAAGGTTTTGTTCTCCATCCCAAGGATTTTTTTCTCAATTTTGAATTCCCAATTGCCAAGGATTTGCTCTCCATCCCAAGGATTTGTTCTCCTTCCCAAGATTTTTTTTTTGTCTATCCCAAGGTTTTCTCCTCCATCCCTAAGATTTGTTCTCCATCCCAAGGATTTGTTTCCCAGTTGTGAATTCCCAGTTGCCAAGGATTTGTTCTCCATCCCAAGGATTTCCTCCCCATCCCAAGGATTTTCTCTCCATCCCAAGGATTTGTCCACTATTCCCAAAGATTTGTTCTCCATCCCAAGGATTTGTTCTCCATCCCAAGGATTTGTCCACTATTCCCAAGGATTTGTTCTCCATCCGAAAGATTCGTCCACTATTCCCAAGGATTTTTTTCTCCATCCCAAGGATTTTCTCTCCATCCCAAGGATTTCCTCCCCATCCCAAGGATTTTCTCCTCCATCCCAAGGATTTTCTCTCCATCCCAAAGATTTGTCCACTATTCCCAAGGATTTGTTCTCCATCCCATGGATTTTCTCTCCATCCCAAGGATTTTTTCTCCATGCCAAGGTTTTCTCTCCATGCCAAGGATTTTCTCTCCATCCCAAGGATTTGTCCACTATTCCCAAGGATTTGTTCTCCATCCCAAGGATTTTCTCTCCATCCCAAGGATTTGTTCTCCATCCCAAGGATTTTCTCTCCATCCCAAGGATTTGTCCACTATTCCCAAGGTTTTCTCTCCATCCCAAGGATTTGTTCTCCATCCCAAGGATTTCCTCCCCATCCCAAGGATTTCCTCTCCCCATCCCAAGGATTTTTCCACTATTCCCAAGGTTTCCTCCCCATCCCAAGGATTTCCTCTCCCCATCCCAAGGATTTCCTCCCCATCCCAAGGATTCGTTCTCCATCCCCAGGGACGAAGGCCCCCCCAGGGAGATCCAGGACATCCGGGACAATTCCAAGGACGGGGAATACTGGGAAGCCCTGACCCGCATCCTTCCCCAGCAGAAACTCAAACTCTGGGACGCGCTCGGAGCCGCGCTCCTGGAATATCAGTGAGTGCCTGCCGGGGTGGGGCGGGGACAATTCCAGGGATTTTCCCACCGGATCCCATGGGTTTTCCCGGTGTTCCTTTCCCAGCAAAGTGCTGACCAGGAGATCCGAGCTCTTTTCCGAGGCCACGGCCCTGCAGCGGCAGAACTCGGAGCTGGGAATGCTGCTGGAGGAATATCTGGGATCCATGCAAGGGCGCTGAGCTCGGCCTGGCATTCCCGGGGATATTCCGGACACCGGGATGGGGCAAAACCCCGGGAATGGCCGGCGGCGGGCGTGGATTTCCCTGGATCTGAGCCAGGAATCCCTGGCAAGGGGTTAATAAATCATTCCCGAAATCTGGAGCTGTGTGCGGGGAATGGGAGCACATCCGGGGGTTCCACTGATCCAGGGAATTCCTGGAATTGTGGGAAGGGACACAAAACTGGCGGATCTGAGGCCTGGAATTCCAGGATGGAAGCCTAAATCCCACCCCATTCCGAGCCTGACACCTTCCAATATCCAGGGAATTCTTGGAATTGTGGGAAGTGCCACAAAACCATGGGATGTGAGGCCTGGAATTCCCAAATTCTGGGATGGAAGCCTAAATCCCATCTTAATTCCAGTCCTGACACCTTCCATGATCCAGGGAATTCCTGCAATTGTGGGAAGTGCCACAAAACCATGGGATGTGAGGCCTGGAATTCCCAAATTCCGGGATGGAAGCCTAAATCCCATCTTAATTCCAGTCCTGACACATTCCACCATCCAGGGAATTCTTGGAATTGTGGGAAGTGCCACAAAACCGTGGGATCTGAGGCCTGGAATTCCGGGATGGAAGCCTAAATCCCATCCTATTCCGAGCCTGACACCTTCCAATATCCAGGGAATTCCTGCAATTGTGGGAAGTGCCACAAAACCATGGGATGTGAGGCCTGGAATTCCAAAATTCTAGGATGGAAGCCTAAATCCCATCCCATTCCAGCCCTGACACCTTCCACGATCCAGGGAATTCCTGGAATTGTGGGAAGTGCCACAAACTCCTGGGATCTGAGGCATGGAATTCCCAAATTCCGGGATGGAAGCCTAAATCCCATCTTAATTCCAGCCCTGACATCTTCCATGATCCAGGGAATTCTTGGAATTGTGGGAAATGCCACAAAACTCTGGGATCTGAGGCCTGGAATCGTCAAATTCCAGTATGGAAGCTTAAATCCCATCCCATTCCAGCCCCAACACCTTCCACCATCCAGGGAATTCCTGGAATTGTGGGAAGTGCCACAAAACCGTGGGATCTGAGGCCTGGAATTCCCAAATTCCGGTATGGAAGCTTAAATCCCATCTTAATTCCAGCCCTGACACCTTCCATGATCCAGGGAATTCCTGGATCCAGGGCATTCTTGGAATTGTGGGAAGTGACACAAAACCGTGGGATCTGAGGCCTGGAATTCCGGGATGGAAGCTTAAATCTCATCCTATTCCGAGCCTGACACCTTCCAATATCCAGGAAATTCCTGGAATCGTTGGAAGTGCCACAAAATCATGGGATGTGAGGCCTGGAATTCCCAAGTTCTGGGATGGAAGCTTAAATCCCGTGTCATTCCAAGCCTGGCAGCTCCCATGATCCAGGGAATTCCTGGAATTGTGGGAAGTGCCACAAAATCGTGGGATGTGAGGCCTGGAATTCCCAAGTTCTGGGATGGAAGCTTAAATCCCATCCCATTCCAAGCCTGGCACCTTTCACCATCCAGGGAATTCCTGGATTCAGGGCATTCTTGGAATTGTGGGAAGTGCCACAAAACTGTGGGATGTGAGGCCTGGAATTCCCAAATTCCGGGATGGAAGCTTAAATCCCATCTTAATTCCAACCCTGACACCTTCCATGATCCAGGGAATTCCTGGAATTGTGGGAAGTGCCACAAAACTCATGGGATCTGAGGCCTGGAATTCCCAAATTCTGGGATGGAAGCTTAAATCCCATCCCATTCCAGCCCCAACACCTTCCATGATCCAGGGAATTCCTGGAATTGTGGGAAGTGCCACAAACTCATGGGATGTGAGGCCTGGAATTCCCAAATTCCGGGATGGAAGCCTAAATCCCATCTTAATTCCAGCCCTGACACCTTCCATGATCCAGGGAATTCCTGGGAATTCTTGTGGGAAGTGCCACAAAACCGTGGGATCTGAGGCCTGGAATTCCCAAATTCCAGGAATTCCACAATCCCAGCGTGCTCCAACCTTCCCTCGGACATTTCCAGGGAATTCTCTGGGAATTCCAGCCCAGGCCCTCCCTCACCTTCCCAGGGGATGAATTCCCAAAATCCCAAACATCCCTGACGGCTCCAAGGATCCCAAGAGCCCCCAGGGAATGTTCAAGGCTTGGAATTCCCGCCCGGGAAGGGTTTTCCAGGCAGGATTTCAAATCCCCCTGGATTTGGGGTGGGAAGGGGGGACACAGATCCTGGAATTTGCTGATTATTCCTGAGGTTTTTCCACCCTTAATAATTCCATGATCCCTCCTGCTTCCCCCTCTGGCTCTTCCCGGAAATTCCCACCCCGATTCCCCTTTTCCCTGTCCCCCCAATTCCCACAAATTTTCCCACAAATTCCAGGCTGAGATTTTTTTCCCGGCTGGGATTTTTTTGATTTTTTTTTCCCACCAGTCCAATCTCACATTCCCACATTCCCAGCGTGGATTCCCAGCCAGTTTTATCTTTAACCTTGGACTTGCAGCCTTTGGATAAACAACGGCTCCAAAGGTTCGGGAAAAAAAAAAAAAATTATCTTTTTATTTTTAATTTTCTTTTTTTTTTTTCACCTCTTGTTTTTTTCTTTTTCCTTTTTTTTTCTTCTTTTTTTCCTTCTTTCTTTTTTTTCTCTTATTTTTTTCTTTCCTTTTTTCTCTTATTTTTTTCTTCTTTTTCCCTTTCCCCCCTCTTTTTTTTTCTTTTTCTTTTTCTTCCTTTTTTTCTTTCCTTTTTTCACTTATTTTTTCTTCTTTTTCCCTTCCCCCCTCTTTTTTTTTCTTTTCTTTTTCTTCCTTTTTTTTCCCTTTTTTCTTTCTTTTTTTCTCTTATTTTTTCTTCTTTTTCCCTTTTTTCCCCTCTTTTTTTTCCTTTTTTCTTTTTCTTCCTCCTTTTTTTCCCCCTTTTTTTCTTTCTTTTTTTCTTCTCTTTTCTTTTTCTTTTTCTATTTTTTTTTCCTCCTTTTTCCCTTTTTTTTCCCTTTCTTTTCCTTCCCACCCCGTTGTTGTCTTTTTGTCTTTCCTTGGAGAATTTTTTTTAATTTCTCCCCGCTTCCCACGGCGGAATTTTTTTTAATTTTTTTTTTTTTTTTGGGGGTGGGGAGGAGCGGGAGATTTTGGGAGGCGCCACGCGACACCCGAGGTAGGAACGTGAAAAAACCAAAAAAAAGCCCTAAAAAACCCCAAAAAAACCCCAAAAAACCCCCAAACAAACAACAACAAAAAAACCCAAAACAAACAAAAAAAAAACCAAACAAACAAAAAAAACCCCAGGGAATTTTGGCGCGGGTGGAAAACAGGGAAAAGGGGAAAAACAGGAACGGGCAGAACTCGAGGCGGGCGCCGCGCCTGGAAAATCCCCGGGAGAAATTCCTCGGGGGATTCCATTCCCGGTGGAAACGGGAGAGGAGAGAGGGGAAAAAAAAAACAAAAAAAGGAATTTTTTGGCATTTCTGGGATCCCAAAATTTCCCGGCCGGGGCCGTCTCGGTCGGGCTCGGGGGCGGCTCCGGGCCGGGAGAGGCCGGGCCAGCACCGGGAGCGTCCCCCCGGAGCCTCGTCCCGCCCGTCCCATCCCGCTCCGCCCTCCGGGAGCACCGGGAATATCAGGAACACCGGGAATGTCGCGGGAAGGGGAGCGGGGCCCCCTGCGCCGCCTGCAGCGGAGGAGGGAGCGCTGCAAACGGTGCCAGGTCCGCTCCGCCAGGTGAGAGCCCCGGCCCAGGCCTCTGAGAGCCCCCGGTACCGGGGAACCCCCCCCCAGAACCGGGAAGGGCCGGCAGGTACCGGGATAGCGCCACGTGGAGCGGGACCGGGGCTTGGGAACCGGGAACGGGCACCGGGACTCGGGTACGGGGCACCGGGACTGGGGTACGGGGCACCGGGGTGGCCCCGGGATGGGGGATCGGGCACCGGGATTGGGGTACGGGGCACGGGAATGGCCCCGGGATTGAGGATCGGGACTTGGGAACCGGCACCGGGCACCGGGATTGGGGTACGGGGCACCGGGACTCGGGTACGGGGCACCGGGATTGGGGCACCGGACACCGGGATTGGGGTACGGGGCACCGGGATTGGGGTACGGGGCACCGGAATGGCCCCGGGAATGGGGGATCGGGGGTTGGGGACCGGGACCGGGCACCGGGATTGGGGGACCGGGGGTGGACCGGGGCTGGGAAACCGGGACCGGGCACCGGGAGTGGCCCCGGGATGGGGGGTAGGGGCTGGGCCGGGTTGAGGGAGCGGGACCGGGCACAGGATTTGGAGGACCGGGCACCGGAATAGTGCCGGGATGGGGAACAGGGGCTGTTCCTGGGATGGGGGACCGGGCACCGGAGCAGCACCGGGATGGGAGGTCCGGACACCCGGGGCTGGCCCGGGTCCGGGGGACACCGGTCCGGACCCGAATTTGGGGAACCGGGGCTGTCCCGGGGCCCGGGCACGGGGGAGAACCCCGGGGTGAGGGTCCAAATCCGGGTTCGGGACAGAGGGTCCAGCTCCGGTCACCGGAGCAGCCCCGGACCGGGACATGAGGACCGGAACCGGGCACCGGAGCTGCCCCGGGAGAGGGCGGGGGAGCCGGATCCGGGCACGGGGGGAGCCCCGAGTTTGGGGGACAGGGACCGGGACCGGGACTGGGGATCCAGAACCGGGCACCGGAGCAGCCCCGGGTTTGGGGGACAGGGACCGGGACCGCGACTGGGGATCCAGAACCGGGCACCGGAGCAGCCCCGGGTTTGGGGGTCCGGAACAGCCCCGAGTTTCCGGGTCCGGGACCTGGGGACCCAGAACCGGGCACCGGGGCTGCCCCGAGTTTGGGGAACCGGAACGTGGGGACCCAGAACCGGGCACCAGAGTAGCCCCAGTTTGGGGGACCGGGACCGGGACCTGGGGACCCAGAACCGGGCTCCGGAGCGGCTCCGAGTTTTAGGGACCGGGACGTGGGGATCCAGAACCGGGCACCGGGACTGCCCCGAGTTT